GTGGTTTCAGCTGCCTGCTGCGCAAGCACAAGGACCCGAGTTCAATCCCCAGTACCAAAAAAAAAAAAAAAAAAAAGGAGCGCACAGGTAATGGGGGAAAAAATAAGAACTAAGATACTAAGATACATCATGTTCAGGAACAAGCACCCAATGATAAATGTAAATGTATTATATACCTAAAATGTACCAATAAATATATGAAAAAGAAACAAAAAACAAAAACAAAGTCCACACACCTTCCACTTCCCTCACCTCCACCACTGCCCTAAAGCCACACATGCCCCTGCTCACCTCACTCACTTGCTGCCCGGAGTCCCCACCCGTCCTACCAAGGAGCTGACTGCGCCGGCTCCATGTGTCCTGGGCCTGGTGCCTCTGATGCCAGAAATGCCAGGGGGGCCAGAAGAGGCCCAGGCCTGCCCCAGTCAGCAGCACCTGGTCCTAGAGGAGCTGCAGGAAGGTGGGGAGCCAGGGTGTGAGAGGGCACCGGCCCTGTCCTCTGCCACCCACCCCTCACTGGCCACCCCAACTGCTCGTGGGCCCGCCGGCTCTGCTCCATCTCTAGTAGCACAGTGGGAAGTGCCAGCCCTGGGGGACAGTCCTGGCTCTCTTGCACCTGGGTTGGGCAGGAAGAAAACATCAGACCCCTGCCCACCCCCTCAAAGGCAGTGCCCAACTTCCTCACCTGTCGCCGTGCAGCCTGGAGCTGGCCCAGGCCTGCAGGGCACCGGAAGATGAGCTGGTACAGGGCCAAAGCCTGCTTGGAGCTACAAGGAAGCCCTGGGCCCCCAGGAGTGGCTGCCTGTACCATGGTGAAAGAGTCTCGGCAGATGTTCCCTCCCTCCTCTGCCTCTGCCACCAGAGCCTGGAATGTGGCGGATGGCCATTGAGGACTAGGAGTAGGGTGGGACAAAGGCTCTGATCTCAATAATGCAGGGCCCTGACACCTGAGCCAAGGCCTAGGAGCACCTGAATTTCACAGAGGCCAGGCTGACTCTGAGACAGGTTTCTTGGCTGGAGGTGGCAGTGTGGAGTACTGAGTGTGACCTTGGCAGAGAGGTGTGCGCGCTTCTTCGCAGCTTCCAGTGGGGATCCTGCGTACACACACATGCATAGCTGTGTGAACTCTGTGACTGCGTCATGTGGGCATGTCACAACTGTGCCCCATGTAGCCAGCGGCGATGGTGGTGGCTCTCAACAGCTTGGACGACCCTCTCCACAGAATTCTTCCTTCCTGGGCTACAGGAAGTAGGTGCTGTTCTCATCCTGGCTTACAGATAAGCAGATGGTTCCAGAGAGTCACTTGCCCTGACACATGGCCATGTTTTCCTCACATGGATATAGATGACCGTGACAAATAGGCTCTGGGAAAGCACAGCCTTCGGAGACGTGTCTGTTCACGACCAGAGGTGAGACAGTGAGGGCAGAGGTCTGCAGTCAGCCCAGCAGTGCCTCCCGATATAGAAGATGCATGCTGTTGCTGTCCTTGTTTTACAGATGAGATCATTTGTTATAAGAAGGGCAGGGACAAGACACTGGAGACGTCTGTGTTGTTGAGTGTCCCCCAAAGGCCATGTGTAAAAGGCATGGCTCTGAGGGTGACACTACCAGAAGGTGCTGTGCACCTTTAGGAGATGGGGCCTGGTGGGAGGTTCTTAGATCACCAGCAGCATGGGAACCCTGCCCCATCCTGTCTCCCCCCACTTCCTGGCTCGTGATGGAAGCAACTGGTTCCAACACATGCTCCCTGTCATTGCCATCAAGTGCCTTCAGCAGAGGCACAAAGCAACAGGATGCTTGATCTTACATGGGAACCTCTAAAACCATGAGCCAAAATATACCTTTGCTCTTTAAAAAAAATGAATTGCCTCATGTATTTCATTACAGTAATGGAAAGCTGACTAATACAGTCCTGAAATCTACATCCTGTGCTGTCATCAGCAGCTTTGCTTTCCTGCAGCCTTGACACCGCTCCATGACGCATGGAGCAAACTCTTCTCTCTGGGCCCCAATGAGAACAGCCTCCCCAAAAAAGGATTGAGCTGGTGGAGCGAGTGATCTTCAATTCAACTCAGCACTCTCTTGCTTAAGTCAACATTAAAAGGTGTGGCCATGACCGCCCCTGGAGCACTGAGCCCTCACTCCCTGTTACAGGGGCCTATAATGACAATGGAGTCCCCCTAATCTTTTAGCCACTGTCCAAAAAACTCCAATGTCACACAGCTGGTACAGCAAGGAAAACTTGAATTCTGAAATTTTCCATTTTGAAACCCATGGCCTCTCCCCTACAACATCTCTGCAGGCTGCATGTGTGCCTATTGTCCATGCGTATACTGATGGATGCGAATGGGTGCAGGCAGGTGTGCATGCACACACTGCAAATGTTTCTGAAAGTGTTTGTGCATGTGTGTTTGTATTTCATCACTGGATATTGTCCCTTCCTCCCCCTAAACATGAGGTCCCTGTGTCAACAGCTCTTGGAATGGCCCAGAAGGTACTCAAGTGGTTGAGTACCACCAAACATGAGGAAAGAAAGGGGAGCATGCCTGCTACAGACCAAACAGGATAGGGGCCAGCACACCTGGGTCCTCCTGCCCATTTCAAGGTTTCCCAGATAGCATTAGAGTAGCTGGTTGGAGCAGCCCAGGCATGTGGGCATAAGGACAGAGTAAGGCTCTCTGACGCTGGGGACACTGAATGCTGCCTCTATGTTCCTAGCAGCCTGACCACCTCCCCAGTGCCAGGAGAAACACACACAGAAGGGAGCTGAGTAGGTCCAGAGTTTACTGCCATGTTTCTTTGCAGGACATAAGCCCAGGCTCTCAGGGTCCGAGTGGGGCGTTGTCCCCACAGCTCTGGCTGGGGTGGCTGCTGCTTGCCAAGGGAAGACTTCTGGCACCAGGAGTCCTGGCCAGGTGTCTTCCTACCTCAGGGTGGAGCCAGGAGCTGATCCTGGCTGGGGCTGGGCAGAGGGTTGAGTGGCTGGGACCTCCGTGAGCAGGACGGGGGGCAGGCATCAGGGGGGATACAGTGGGCCTCATGCTCCGCCAGGCCTGCTGGGCACTGGCAGCCAGGGATACAGGGCCTCACGCAGTGGGCTGCCAGCTCCCCAAGGGGAACGTGCTGGTTGAAGCAGGTGCAGGGACAGGGTGAGCCACACTCATCGAACACGAAGCCACGGTCCAGGAGGCAGCCCATCGCTATAGGAAGAGTGGAAGGCAGGGTCACGGTGGTCCCCCAACATTGCTCTAGTCACTGCTCACATCCCTGGACCCACCCCACGCAGACCCGAGCCTCCTGGGCCAGCCCTTCCCTCTGCACCATCCCTTCCCCAGCCTGCACCCTCATTGCCCCCTCACCGCACAGTGTAGGGCCCCTCCAGATAGGTGTCATGCCTGCTTGATGACAGTGGCTGGCATAGGCCTCTAGGGCATCACAGAGGCAGGCATCGGCCAAGGAGCCAGGACCACAAGCACACATGTCATACACACAGGCAGCAAAGAAGGGCTCTGGTGGCACCACAGCATGGCAGCGGCTGAATGAGGAAGATTTCAGTAGCCCACACCGAGCATTGGCCTCATGCCTGGCACGGTACCCTGCTGCCTGGCATGGGTCCACTTCTCGGCCTGCAGAGCAGGGCTGGCCAGGCCCAGGCCCACCTGGGACCTACATGGGGAGAACAAACCCAGTATGACGATAGGGCTGGCAGCTGATCTTTATGGGCTGTATCTTCACAGTGCTTCCCACCCAATCATTTGCTTTAGCCTCCAAAAACTCCCTTGAAACTGGGCATGATGGCGCACCCCTGTAATCTCAGCACTTGGGAGGGTGAGGCAGGAGGATTGCCCTGAGTTTGAGGCCAACCTGGGCTACATAGTGAGTTCAAAGCCAGCCTGAACTACATAGCAAGACTCTGTCTCAAAAAACAAAACAAAACAAAACAATACCTTCAAGAAGAGCAAAGGAAGTCTTATCTACTCTTCCTTGTCCTCAGGTTATAGATAAAGAAACCAAGGCAAGTGACTTGTCCAAAGTCAGCAGCCACTAAGTGGCAAAGCAGGATTTAGGGATTCAGTTGATGAGGCTTCCTTCATCAGGCAATCATACTGTCCACCACGGGCATGAATCCCCTACAGCTCCCTGAAAGCCCAAAAGCCCATCTTGGGCCTTCCTTCCACACCAGAGGCTGCTCTGGGACTCAGACCCAGCTGTGCCCAGCTCTTTCAGCCTGCCCCAGCTATGGCCCCTGTGCCACTCACCTGCCAGCTATTCCCAAAGGCAGCTTCTGTGGGCAGGAGCAGCCCATCAGGACCCTGCAGATCATCCTGGGCAAAGCCATTGAAGCTGCCGCAGAGCCCACAGGTCTGGCCCCAGTAGGAGCCAGGTACCCTCACCTCCACCTGGGACTGCCCGTCCCATAGCACCTGCACAGAGAGGCCTGGGACTAGGGAGTAGGGAAGGAGACAGACCCTGAGGTGGCCAAGGTCCACCATGGCCCTGCATGTGTCAGGATGCCCTGTGCCACAGCAGGCAAGATGGGCAGGTGCAGATCCTCACAGGGAGGATGCTGCCCTGGCCTAGGCCATGTCAGCACCCTCAGCACCACCCTGGGCAAACACAGGTGACAGCAGAGCTGCCCACAGCTCCTGCATGAGGGCCGTTTCTCCATCGGGACCCCTCAACTGGGCCCAGGGTGCAATGCTACCCTCTTCTGAGATTCAGTGTCTCCTGGACCCTCAGGCTGTACAGTTACAGCCAGGTCAGAAGGGCACACAAGGCTGATTTCATGAAGTTGTGCTTCTGCCTGGGGCAGAGGGGCAAGTCACTCTTCCACAGATCGAGAGGAACCTCACATACCACCTAGGAGACCTTTATTGACATCCTCCCACTGCTACGTACCCTCTCCCCACTTTGCAGATGAGAAAACAGAGTCTTAGAGGTCAGCTCAAGTTGTTCTAGGATATGGGTCAAGATTAAAACCAGGGGCTGGATGTGTAGCTCGGTGGTAGAACACTTGCCCAGCATGTGTGAGGCCCTGGGTTTGATCCCTAGCACTGCCAAACAAAACAAAACCATGTCCAGAATTCCTCTGCTTCCAGAGGTCTCTGGCCTGGATTCCTTTCCTGGGAATCAGCTGCATGCTCTCTTTCACTCTGCTGCCTCACTGGGCCCAGGAGGTACCTGGTATTGCTGGTATCCTACTCTGTCTAGCATACAAAGCCTAGATACACCTGTAGCTCTCAGGTCTTCCCTAGGGAACCCAGCCCCTGCCAGTCATGTCCTCGGGCCACACCTGAAGCCCAGGCCAGGCATGTAAGATCACAGTTTGGCCCCGAAGCTCCAGGTACAGCAGCAGCTCCTGCAGGAAGGGCAAGGCCACTAGGTGCCCGTCCACCTGGGGGAGAAGTGAGGAGGGGTGATGTTGGGGACAGACAAGGGGACGGTGCTGGACAGCCCACAGATCTCAGCTCACCATGACAGTCCCACCCTGCAGCAGCTGTACTGCCATGTCTCCCAACAGCACTGCCACCTCCTGGGTCCAGGCCACGCCACTCCGGCCCCGGTCGTCATTGGTGATGTGCACACTGTAGGCAAGAGAGGCCTGGGTGCCCATGGAGGGCAGGGCTGGGTGTGGGGGTCGGGTAGAAGGGAAAGTGGTGCCCACCTGAAGCCCCCCCCCCACAGTCCTTGACCAGCATGTAGCTGCAGCTGCCCTGGAAGTGCAGCAGGCGGCCATCGAAGGTGCGGTAATGGGGGTCTCCGAAGGCCATTCAGGAAGCGGGCCGGGGCAGGCAGCGGGGGCAGCAGCTGCTGGGACTCAGGGCAGGGGCCTTGTTCTGGCCTCAGCCCCAGACACCGTCAGACCCCAGGTGCTCCCTGCCATGCCCCAGCCACGCCACCCCGACTCCCACCCCTAACCACTATGCTGGCCCTCAGTCACCCACCCAGGCTCACTGTAAGTGGGGTCAGGGCACCACCTGTGGCCGCGCCTAGAACAGCACCTTCCCGGGCTCCAGTGCTGCCCCGGGACAGGGAGAGAGGAAGCCCAGCCCCCCTCTCTCAAGCTTGGTCACTCACGGATGGTTGTGTCCCAGGCGCCTGCACCCTACTGCCTTAGACCACACGCTCACTGGGCTGCACGACAGTGGCGGGCAGCGCTGGCTTTGGCAGTGCACAGTGCCAGCCACGCAGGAGCAGCTGGTGCAGGCATCTATGGCCCAGTGCTCCCCGGAGGCCGCCTGCCGGCCCTGGAGCTCTCATGACTGTCTAGAGTCTGAGGGGACAGGAGACAGGCAGGGTCAGTGCCCCCCTATTCTATCTTGATTGCCCCTCCTCCACCCTCCAGGCCCCTCACCTTGGCATCTCTCACAGCAGCTGCCATTCTTGGATGCTTTCACCCAGCCCTGGGGACAGGAGAGGGGCTGGCACTCCTCCAAGTGACACTCCACATGGCCCCGCTGAGGACAGACACCATTGCTCTAGGGATTTCCTACAGGGCCCGGGGTCCCTGCTGTCACATGTTTGGGGGCCTTTTGGGCAGTCTTAGGTAGCAGCCTCCTATTTGTCTGCTCCCAACCCATCACTGTTCAGGTGGGAAATAAAAATCCAGCCCTCTTATAGCTAAGTGGATGCATAGTGAGGTGATACTCTTAAGTGAAATAAATAGGACACACCTGTGTAAATACCGAATAGTTTCTCTGGTGTGAGAAACTGAAAGTGTAAATAAGGACTAAATGTATAATAGGTAATGTGAAATAGGAAGAAAAGGGGCAAAGGGGAAGGAAGTGGGAGGGCTAGGGGAAAGGATAGAAGGGAATGGGATTAATATGAGAAAATGGAAAAATAGGAACAAAATCTTTGTAAATAGGGAGGACTGGAGGGGTTGAAGGGAGGGTTGGGCAAGGGTGAAAAACAAGAACCAAGAGAGACTATGTAAAGGTGCAAATTTCCAATGATGAATGTCATTATATTGTATACCTAAAATGTACCAATGATTAGAATGAATAATCGATAATGCAAAATAGGAAGAAAAGGTCCAAAGGGGTAGGGGTAGTGGGAGGGGCAGGGGAAAGGAAAGAAGGAAAAGGAAAAAATGATGAGAAATGGAAAAAATGGAAATAAAGTCTTTGTAAATAGGGAAGGGTGGAGGGTGTGAAGGGAGGGCTAGGAATGGGGAAAAAATAAGAACCAAGATGCATCATGTAAAGGTACAACTCCCAATGAGAAATGTAAATGTGTTGTATACCTACAATGTGCCAATAAAAGAATTTAATACAAAAAAAAAAAAAATCCAGCCCTCAACTTCTTGCCCCACCACAAGATACCTCTGCTCCTTAAGGACGGAGTATTTGCTGGTGAATGTGAGACCCTCCCCTCTTTACCCATCTAGGAGGTCTGCACCCCGGCCCCACCCCACCCCCCAGATTACACGGCAGGTGCAGGCAATGCAGGCATTGCTGGGGTCCCGCCAGCTCTCTCCATCTGCCACTCTCCGGCCCCCGGCCTCCACCACACATTCTAAGGAGAAAGACTGGGATGGGCTGGCACTGTCCTTCCATCTGTGTCCTCCCTCCCTGGGCTCACTCTGTGCTTCCCAGCAGGGAAGTGCCCAGGCCATACCACCAGCACCCAGATGGGGTTGATTTCTTCAACCAATATGCAGAAAGCCTGGGCAGTATTGGGCCTTGCACTAGTGCTCTGGATGTCTCTAGGGTCCTGGAGGCCCAAAGAACAGACCCTGGAGCCTGCCTCTGGGCCAGCTGCCAGCTCCGCAGTGCAGTGCCTACTGGTGAACCAGGGGTCTTGTAAGCCTCATGAAGAGCCTCAGTGCAGGCCTTGAAAATCTAGGTTGCCCTCACTGCCTCCATCTGCCTCATGGGGCTTCTCTCTTCCCCAACAAACAGCTCTTCCATGTTTTTCAAGGATGAAACCGACATTCAGAGTGCAGATCCCAGACCTCACACTTGGCCTCTGAATACTACCACATCCTGTCTCCCTCTGGGGCTCCTCTCTGAGGGTAAGGCCAAGGCTAGAACTCACCCTGACACACAGGGCAACAGCTCCCAGGTGGTGTGTAGTGCTCCAACCGGGGACAGCTGAGCTCAGGACAGCCCCGGTGAATGCAGAGCCGCGTCAGATCCTGCCCATTGTCATGTGAACACCATAGGGAGAGACAGTAGATCTCAAGGAGTTGGCAAGATGTAGGAGGGAGTAGAACACAGGTAGGATGTAACATTCAGAGCGAACTCACGAAGGTCAGAGAGGATCACAGCTACAGCTCACAGAGGACAGATCCCGAGACAGGGCTCACCTGGCACTGGCAGGTGTAGCAGGGGCCTGGTGGGGCCAGCTCGGACCCCAGGAGGCCCTCTGTGCAGTTGCTCAGCTCTTCTGTGAAGACAAGAACCCGGTATGGAAGGGGGCTGGAAAACACGGGGAGCCAGGGGCACACTCCCAGCTCTGTCCTCAGAGTTCTTGGGCCCAAGGCAGACCTATATCCCAGGCACTGTGACTCCAGGGAGGACAGAGCAGGAACTGGAAAGTGACAAAGTGTGGCTCCCTCAGTCTGAGGTCACTAGGAACAGCCAGGCTGCCTGGCCTGCTCTCACTGTCACTTCCTTTCATAATCTGGCTAACAAGCACAAGGAGGCGTAAGAAACCAAGCAACCCAGGTTTTCATCCAGGCTCTAGCACTCAGTGTCTGTACCGTCACAAGCAGAACAACTAACCTCTGGAAGCCTCAATTTCTTCAACGAAAAGGGGTAATTTTCACCGGGCAATTGTGAAAATTAAATGAGATACTCCCCCTCTATCTTTATAAATCCTTACTCTAAATGAAAAAATAAAAAATAAAAACAAAAATCAGAATAGCTCTCCCTATCCTGGTGGCCAATGCTCCCTCTAGTTCTCACGTCAGAAGCCACAAGGAGCCTGTAGTGGCCCAATTGCCACCCTGCAGCGCCACCTGCTGGGCAAGGTGCTCCACAAACACGTCCAGCTTCAGAGAGGCCAGGGTCCCTGCCTGCTCACCTTGTTCCTCCTAGCTGCCCTGGGCTGTGTCCACCCACTCACTAGGGCAAGGGCCACAGCAGAGTCCACTGGAGGCTGTAAAGGGATGGGGCTGGAGCCAGACAGGACAGCTTGCTGGCTCCTCCAGCATCACTCTGAGATGCATCCCCACACTCCTAGCTCATCTACCCTGAACCCCAGGACTCACGGGCACAGGTAGGGCAGCAGTGTTGGGGCCCAGGGGGCAGGAGTTGACTGGGTGGGCACCCCACCAGACTGGGACACTGCTGCCGATGACAGCGAAGGCCAGGAGGCCCCTCAGGCTTCAGCTGAAAAAGTAAATGAGCAAAGGTTGGGAGCCAGGCCATGAAAGCAAGAGGCAGCCCTGTCTGCCAGCTGCATCTTCTCCGGGGTGTGCATGGGCAGACTCAGTTGTCTCCCTAGGCTTGGTCCCGCTGAGTCCTAATGCCCAAAGATGATGTCACTCCTCTTTCCAGTCACTTGGGCCAGAACTCTCATGCGTCCTTGACTGGAGCTGTCCTGCCAGCCCACCCATCTCCATTGCCCTTCTTCTGGCCCATGGCATCACTCACCTGCTCAAATCCCTTCCTAGGCTCACCATTGTCTTCCATAGCATCTGTACACTCCAGGTGGCTCCTTCACCCACTATCCCTTCCCCCACAGTCCAGCCTGAAGGGCACCCACTGCTTCCCCCTGACTCAGGCCCTGTGCTCCATGTCTAAACCATACACTCTGGGCCTGCTCATCCCAGCCCTGCCCAGTCCTGGCTGCTGGGACCCCCTCCCATCTCAGACCCCATGGTGTCCACTCCTTCCAAGCAGTGGCCAGCTGGCTAGGCCTCTCCATGCTGCTGCCCTCCCTGGGATGCCCCCAGCCTCTTACCTCACAGATGCACACTTCACAGGGGTCTGCCCCAGGCTGGAAGCTCTCACCAGCCTCATATTTCTGGCCCTCATGCTCACAGCCTTGGGGTGGGACAAGAGAAGGGCACCAGCAGGGAGCCTTCAGGCTGGCAGTGATACCAGGAGTAGGGCCCTCTGCCCTCCAGCCCCTTGCCCCTGTAAGGACTGGGCTACCTGCAGAATGGAGGCCACTCCTCCTAGAGCATCCCCTCTGCCACTCACCCCGCACCAAGGTGGGGAGGTACAGACCCCATCCCATCCCCTGTCCCCACCCCAGCGTCCCAACACCAGTACCAGAGCATCGAGGGCAGCAGTCACTGGGCCCCTGGAGGGGCTGGGCACAAGAGCTGACATACTGGATGTGGGCACAGGTGACAATGCCCTCATGACACATGCAGGAGGAGCAAAGGCTGTCAGGAGGCACCCAGCTACTGCCTTCAGGGTGCTCCTCCCCGTAAGCCAGGCAGCCTGCAGTCCAAGGTAGGGATAAGTGTTGAGCCTGAGATCCGACATCTGCCCTGCCCCTCCCACAAGTGGTCAGCAGGGCATGTGGACACCAGGGTGGAGGTCTGCAGGGATGTAGCAGGGAGGTGGCGGGACAGAGCCCTGTCTGTGGTGGAGGGGAAAGGCATGGGGCAGGGTCGAAGCGCCTTGGACTGCCCTGTCCTGTCTGCTTGCCTGCTAGACTGAGCTGCATGCAGCAGGCACGGCTGGCTGCAGCTCCCATGGACACACTGGCATTCAGCAGGTGTGGAATGAATGCACCGGGCTCTCACTAACTGTGTCCCAGGTAACCTAGTCTCTTCAAGCCTCGCCTCCTGCTCTGTTAAATGGGTACTACATCTGTCCTCCTTTCCTCACAGGGCAAGAGGGCCACTGGGCTGGTTTTTGTTAACTACACGGCACTGGGCAGTATATGGGGTGAGAGACAGTAGGTAGGTGGCGGGTAGGCTCAGAAAGGGTTATGTTCTGGAGGAGTGGGCCAGGACACGCATCTTGACTCTGCTACCTCTGAGGCAAGCAACCACAAGCAAGTTAGGTTACCTCTTTGTAACTCTGATCCTTGTTTGTTTGTTTGGGTGTTGGTTTTTATTTATTTCAACAGTGGGAATGGAACCCAGGAAGCACTTAGCCCTAGGTTTTTTTGTTTGTTTGTTTTTAAAGACATAATGACAGCTGGGCGTGATGGTGCACACCTGTAGTCCCAGCACTTGGGAGGCTGAGGCAGGAGGATCACCAGGAGTTCAAGACCAGCCTGCACCTTATAGTGAGTTCAAGGCCAGCCTGAGCTATATATGAGACCCTGTCTCAAAAGAAGAAAAAAGATACTAAAAAAGGACAGCACTTAACTGATAAGATTGTTGTGCAGATTAAATGAGATAATAGGAGTAAAGTGCTGAGCTCAGGGCCTGGCCTAGCTCAATAAATGCTAATTACCAGGACAATTATATTATTTTGAATAGGATGTGGGTAGGAAGAGCAACAGCTTTGGTGGAATCTAACCAGCACCTAGAGGGGTGGCCTGGCAGGCCAGAGCAGGGAGAAGGTGGGAAGAGCTGAAGGGGGCTAGGGTGACATCCAGGACTGACATGTGGGGGGGCCAGTGGGAAGACAAGAGGGCCGGAGGGGCTGAAGCATGAGTGTGGGGCAGCCTCAGGGACCAGGCCTACCTCTGCATGGAGGGCAGCAGCTCCCCGGCTCTGTGACCTGGAGCAGGCATGGCAGGGGTGGGCACTGCAGCCGCACACAGCTGACCTGGCCAGCCTGCAGGAGATGCAGGCCCAGAAGCTTGCTACCAAAGTCAGGGGGTACCATGGGCCCCTACCCCACACCTTCCTGCTCCTTGCAGTACCTGACAGCGACACTGCTCACAGCTGCCTGCAGGCCCCTCAAAATCCTCCCCATCCTGGTGCTTCCGGCCCTTAAAGAGGCAGCCTGTGGGGGACACACTTCCTGGGTAGGAACCTGTGTCACCCTGTCCTGCTGCACCCACAAGGGAGGGAAGGGGGACAGCATGAGGCTAGGGCAGGTGGAAGGCAGCTCACTGTGGCAAACAGGGCAGAAGCAAGGTCCTGGAGAGAAGGGCAGGCAGGGAGCCAGGAGGCATGGTCTCCTCTGGCAGCGCACAGAGCCTTCCTGGTCAGGAGAGGTCACACTGCCACTTTTGCCTTCCACAACACTCCAATGCACCCTCAAGCCAGGCTTGCTGCCCCTTGGCGGACAGCCTACTGAAGCCGCCAGGCCCAAACCCCCTCCCCTAGGCCAGAAGACCTCAGCCCAGCTCCGTCACCCAAGATGTCACCTGGGTGGAGGAGACACCCTCCCACCAGGAAAGCAGCATGTAGAGTGAAAGGGCACCCAGGTCCCAAAGCCACCACCTCACCTGGCAGGTGCAGAGGGAGCAGGTGGGGTCAAGTTGGTCAGGAAAGGTCTCTCCAGGGGCAGCAGTGACCCCATGGTAGAAGTATCCTGGCAGAGTCGGGGACACAATGAGAGCCAACATGGACGAAACCCTCAGATGTCACACACACAGCCATGGCCGGGACACCCCCAAAAGCTTAAGGTAAAATTATTGTGCCTGGGAGAGGCAGGGAGAGTAAGGTGGATGTGGGAGATAAGACAGAGTCAGCCAGGCCGCGGAGGGCAGGATTTGCATGGCACAGGCAGACTGAAGAGGCAGGGGAGTCGAGGCTGATGAAAGATGGCTGGGAACTTCCTACCAGGTGGGAAGGGACAGTGTGGACAGGCACACTGGACATGCAGCCAGATGGGCTGGGCCAAGCAGGGTGGGCTAAGGCAGCTGTCCCTCCTGGTTAATGACTCCAGAGCAATAGGGCAGTTTTGAATAGAATGACATGGTATTTTAGGAAGCAGTGAAACAATCTAAGAGTACAAAGGAATGGAAACCAAAGGACCAGTTATTTGGTGAGTGTGACAGTCTGGAGTGAGGTGACAGTACAGACAGAGAAGAGACCATGCGTATGGTGTGACAGGAGTCTGGGGAACAGTGTGTGTCTGTCTCAGGAGAAGGCTGGCAAGGCTCCTGACTGGGATGCTGGCTGGGGCCCTTGGGAGCTCCAGCTGGGGGCCGGAAGGGCAGCTGTAGCCCTACCCTGGCAGATGGAGCAGCAGTACCCCGGTGGGGTGAGGGGGTGGCTGCAGCCTGCAGGCTCACAGGGACGGCGGCTGCAGGTCACAAAGCCTCCGAGACAGGGGCACAGGTTGCAGGGTTCTTGGGGATCCAGGAAGTCCTGGCTGCTCAGATAGGCCTCACCCAGGTATTCACAGCCTGCCAAGGTGAGAGGGAGAGGGTGGGCTGGAGGGAGAGAGGGATGGGAGGTGGGGAGAGACGTAGAAGAGGAGGAGAGAAGGGAGGGGGAGAAAGAATGGGAGGGAAACACCTGCTGGCTCTGAGCTCTGGCCGTCAGAAGGCCAGACCCTCGGAGACTTGGTCTGGTAACCTTTCTCCCTCGAAGCCTGCAAGAAATCCTTTCCATCCCCTGGAAACAACCTTCTGGGTCTGTCCCCGGGGTTAAGTACTCAGCAACCCATCTCCAGGGACACTAATTTTCCCAGCCTCATGAGTGGATGTAAGTGGTGTGTGGCCAAGGGCTCCCTTCCCAGTGCCCTTCAATCTGGTGCCTCGGTGTGTGGATGCCAAGTTCAAGTCAGCAGGAGGTCCAGGAGCAGAGTTCAAGTCAGCAGGAGACAGGTAGACTGTTGCAGGCTCAAGGAATCTGGTTCCAGCTTCATAGCCAGAAACCGGCCTGAACTTCAGAGTAACTAAAGGGGCAGGCTAGCTGGGATTATCCACTACCCTACCATGAAGGCTGGCTGGGATTGTCCACTACCCTACCATGAAGCTGCAGCTACCTTGCTGGGATTAATCATTTTGGCTGTAGACTCTGCCCAATGCCCTTCAAGCCCTCTGATCAAATTTTTTAAAAGAAAAGTTGAGCAAAGCGTGGTAGCACACACCTGTGATCCCAGCACTCAGGAGGCTGAGGCAAGAGGATCACTGTGAGTTGAGGTCTGCCTGGGCTACATAGTGAGTTCAAGGCCATCCCGAACTGCATGGCAAGACCCTGTTAAACCAAACCAAACCAAACCAAACCAAACAAAAACAAAGAGAGAGATTGAACCTCTGTCTGGAAGCCTTGACAGGCAAAAGCATTTCTCTAGAATTTAACAATATTTTTTATCTTTTCTTTTTTTTTGAGACAAGGTCTCACTATGTAGCCCAGTCTGGCCTTGAACTCACAGTGATCCTCCTGCCTTTGCCTCCCAAGTGCTGGGATTACAGGCGTGTACCACCATGCCTGGCTTGTATTTCAATTATTTTCATTTTTACAGTAATCTATTCCTGGCAAGTCTAATTTTCCATTTCCTGTGTGATATAAAACTCCTGTCTAAATAAATTTAAATTAATAAATGAATTTATTTGAGGAAAAGTACAGAATAAATAAAAATTCCGTTGGTAGAAGTTGTGTAGCAATAATTGCTAAAATAGCAGGAGACACCAAAGATGTGGAAACTCGATCTGTTCAATTCTCTTTTTCTTTTTTAACAGGAGTTTAAAAATTAAGCCCAGGGCTGGGATTTAGCTCAGTGGTTCCACCGCCTGCCTCGTTAGCGCAAAGTCCGGAGTTTGATCCCCAGTACCCAAAAAAAAGAAAGCCCGAAGAGGTTATGTAATTTGTCCAAAGTCACACAAATAGCATCAAAAGCAGGAGAAAATACAACCTTTAGTCCAGAGCTTTTCTCTTACTGTAAAAGAAAAAAAAATTTCTGCATCCATTCTAGGGCAGTAAAGAGGATTCAGACCGGATCTCCCATCCCCCAAAACCCCCACCCACGCGCGCCTTCGCCCCACAGTCCCCTGTCCCCTACCCCTCACCGTCACAGGCAGGGCAGCAGTCGCCCCTGGGGGGAAGGGGCACTGTGCAGGGGCACGAGCCCTGGGCTCGCAGGTGACCCTGCCCTCCCAGCAGAGGCACTCGTGGCACGCGGCGCTAGGCGACGGGAAACGCTCCCCGCTGGCGAACTCCTTCCCCTGGAACAGGCAGCCTGCGGAGGCGAGGCGGGCTGGGGCTGGGAGGCCTGGTATTTGGCTCCAGAGCCCTGAGACGCAGCACTGTACTCCAACCCCTTATTTAATGCTAGGAATGAACCCAGGGCCTCGGGCATGCTAGGCAAGCAGCAAGGGGGATTCTGGGCCACCCGGTCTGGGACAGAGGAACGGGGGACCCAGCAGGGGGCAGCCGAAGAAGTGGTGACCGGGTGTTGGGGGGGGGGGAAGCGGTACCGTCGAAGGAGCCGCAGCAGCGCCCCTGGCGCGGTGGGCGCAGGGCGCGGGTGCGCAGGGCAGCCGCCGTCAGGACACCGAGCCGTTGAGGCAGTGGCAGCGGCTGCAGGGGTCGCCGGGTGGGGAAAAGTGCTCCTCGTGGCGGACAGGGACGGTGCCCCCTGGCAGCAGGCAGCCGGAGGGGGCGGGGAGGGCTGCGGGGGAGAGCGGGTCAGAGGCATGGGGGAGGCTCGGCGCGGAGCGGCTCCTACCCGGGCACTGCGGGCAGCAGCCTCCTGGCGGCAGCACCGGCTCGGGACAGGGCAACGGCGGGCAGTGGCGAGCCAGGCACTGCACGTTGCCGCTCTGCGGGGGCACAGAGGGACAGTGCCAGGCCAGGTTAGAGGGACAAGGCCGAGGAGACCCCCGCCCCTCCCCACCCCATTTAGTGGGCCTCTCCCAGCCTCCCCAAGCCCCACTGCCACTCCCCTGGGCTTCTCCTCTCCAGGGTGCATTCACCAGACAGCGACAGAGGCGGCAGGGGTCGGTGGGGTGGGGGAAGTCGGCTCCACTGGGGTACTCTTTACCGCCAAAGGCGCAGCCTGGGGGAGATGGCAGCTCTAGGCCCCAGGGAGAACCCCCTGGCCTAGGCGAAGAAGCAGAGCACCCTCCCCACCCCACCTCACCGCTGCAGTGGCTCTGGCAGCAGGTCCCGGGCAGTGGGTGGGCACAGGGAGCCCAGGGGCAGGCGCGAGGCTGGCAGCGAGTGTGGCCTTCCTGACAGTGGCACTCTTGGCAGGGGTCTCTGGGGTAGGAGAAGCGCTGGCCATCCGTAAACACCTGTTGCTCCAGGATGCAGTCTGGACAGTGGGGATGAGAAAGCGGGCAAATGCTGACAGCAGGTGACAGGTGCGCCGCCCCCCCCCCCGGCCTAGTCCAGAGCCACTGGGATATGCTGGCCTGGAAACTGAGTCCGTGGAGGGAGGGGCTGTGTGCCTGTGCGTGCAGACATTGTATTGTTCTGAGCATGCGCGTGTGTGTGCGTGCGTGTGTGTGTGTGTGTGTGTGTGTGTGTCTGTGCATTTGGGTCCTATTACCTACAGGCAGACATGTCTGAGGCTGCAGAGGTAAAGAGCTGATACCTGTGTGCCTGCTTGTGACACACACCCTGGCACAGACTCTCCATGTGGGCAGGAATCGAGTCCCCTTGCACCCCAGGACCCAGTCCCCTGCATACAGACGCAAACACGGTGCTCGAACCTGAGTCACCAAGGTGAGTATGTGAGTGTATCGGAGAGGTGAGGCATCGGAAGAAGAAATGTAGGACAGGAGGGAAGAGATAACAAATCTCTATTCTCCTCCCACCCACCTCCCGGGAGTACCAGAGAATTCTTTGTTGTGTGGGGCCAAAACCAATGCAGAAAGCCATTCATTTTGAAGGTAGTAGATCTGCCACAGGACCGTTAGAGGTAAGCTGTACCTGGACACCTGGGCCAGCACTGACCGAGTTGATTCTGGGGCCTGGCACAGGTAGTGGGAAGGCAGTTGACCACGGAACACCTCACAGTCCCATCCTGAGAGCAGACAGAGGCTGTGGGCAGCCCCAGGAGGGCCTCAGCAGGGCAGTGGCAAGCCAGAGAGGTACCTCACAGTGGCAGGCATGGCAAGGCTTGTCCAGGTCTGTGAAGTTCTGCCCATTGGCGTACACGTGGCCATGGTAGGTGCAGCTCTCACAGCCGGGGCAGCAGGCACCTGGGTGGGGCGGGCTGGTCAAGTGGGCAGGGTGAAACAGGGGAAGGAAGCTAGGGTGGGGCTGGGGGACTCACCGGGGGCTGGGTGGGGTGCTGGCAGGAGGGTGGGGAGCAGAGCACAGCCCCACAGACAGGCACCTCATCTTGGCAGGAGCAGGCAGTGCAGGGCTGGCCATCAGGCTCCCACTGGACCCCTTCAGCAAACTCCTCTCCATTGAGCACACAGGCTACAATGAGGGAGTTCTCACCATGGCAACCTGAACACTTGCCACTCAGCCTGTCTTTCCCAGCCCGTCCTCCCAGAGCCTCTGAACCCTGAACTCTTCCCCCTTACTGCAGAGGAACGCCCTCCTCCCAGACAGCACCCACCTGGGCAAAACCTTGAGCCAGAGCCAGACAGGGCACAGGGGGCAACTGGGCACTCCTGGTCCTCACAGGAGACATCACCAGCCTAGGAGGGAGGCCAGGTGAGAGGCCCTTGAGGAGCAAGACAGCCTGGGCGGGAGGTGGAGGGACTGCCCACCTGGCAGGAGCAGCGGACCAGCGACCACTCTCCTGGAGGCTGAAGGTCTCCTGGCTCTGATACTGCTGTCCCTGGTATTCACAGCCTGGATGGGAGGACAAGTGGCTGAGGGGGACAGGACTGGCACCTGAGTCATCCAGCCCCTCCTCACACCACAGAAGCACCGCTCCCACCACAGTCCCTACTTTTCCCTGAGAAGGTGAGGTGCGGACTTACCTGACGGGACAGCAGCTTAGGTGCAAGGGAAGCAAAGCCCAGCACCACCCAGCGGGCCCCTGCAGCCACTCCCTGCCCCGCGTGGCAGCCACGGCTTCCACTCACCATTGCAGACGGGGCAGCACTGCCCAGGGACCCGGCCTGGGTGTCTGCAGGACACAGGTGGGCAGGGCAGAGGCTCACACTGGACACTCCCATTCTGCCAATAGGGCCTGGTTAGCAGGCAGCAGGCAAGCCCAGAAGCCAGGCCGGCCCTGCCAGGCAGCCACACTCACAGCACAGCGGCAGCTCGAGCAGGGGTCTCCAAAGCCCACAGGCTCCCCGCTGCAGTGCTCTCCCCCATTTAGGAAACAGCCTGTTGGGAAGAGGGGAGCAGGCTGTCCTCAGGGGCCCCCTTGCCTCACTCTGGCCTTTGTGGGAAACCCAGGCCGGTCCAGCAGTCAACTTGGGACCCTGTTCCACGCACTGACTCACCATCGCACACTGGGCCGCAGGTGCCCAGGAGGGGCCGGGCAGGGTATGGGCACAGGCTGGCGCATTCCCCCTGGTGGCACTGGATGTGGCCCTCCTGTGGGGTGTGGCAGGGGAGGGGCCGTCAGGGTTCAGACAAATGGCAGAAACAGCATTGGAGTCCCAGCCGTCCTGAGCACTGGATGTTGTTATGGGTGAATTGCACCCTCTACTTCAAATGTTAAAGTCCTGGCCCTTGGCATCTCAGAACATGACCTTATTTGGAAATAAGGCTGCTGAAGATGTAATTAGTTGAGATGAGTTCACATTGGAGTAGGTGGGTCCCTAATCCAACATGACTGGTGTACTTGAAACAGGGGGAACTTTAGACCCCACACAGAGAACTGAGCGATGCCGGAGAGAGGCCCAGAACAGATCCCCTGCGCAGCCCTCAGAAGGAACCAATCCGCCCATATGTTGATCTTGGACTTAGGTTATATCTCTGCTGTTTGCACCACTTGGTCTGTTGGCCTTTGTTACAGCAGCCCTAGGAAACTAAAACTGCACCAGTATAAAACCTAGCGTGTTACTCAAGCACTCTGTGACTCGGTTTGCCTATCGGGAAAAGACGGACAATAATAGTTCTGTCACTTTAGGATTGTGATGGGGATGAAATGAGAGAAGGTATCAGTGTGACACCGACCTTTGAAGCTGTTACTTAAAATGACAGCTGCTGCTACTCCCAACCCCCAACCTGTCCCCAACAGATACCATTCCTTGAATTCTTTGGGTTCACCACCTCCAGCCCCGCCAGGTCACACAGAGACTCTTCTCACGGATGTGAAGGGTCAGTGTGAACAGGAAGGGCATGGGAGTTGGGTATCCCAGCAGCCTTCCAAGAGTCATAGTATTTATCAGGCTGTCAGGAAGCTCTGTGACACCTGCCTGCCTGATATTAAGGCCTTTGGGTCCCTTGCTTCCTCTCCTTTATTCCCTATTCCCTGATAGTCTTCCCCTGCTTCTCCCTCCTGAAATCCAACTCATCTTTTAAGGCCTAGGTCAGCACCACCCTTCCATGAAGTTGTTCTAGGTCTGTACTACCCAAGAGCAATGTAAGGCGAGCCACTTAGATGTGTGTGCAGTGGTGAGTCAGCAGGTACAACAGGGTTCCAAGCCCTAAACAGGGTCTCTGGGAGCCAAGTGGAAAGCTTAGTGCAAGCTGTTGAATTCTCTCAAAGCCTAGTTTTGGATTTTTTTTTTTTTTTTTTTTGAGACAGGGTCTTGCTGTGTAGTCCAGGCTAACCTGGAACTTGTTGTGTAGCTCAGTCTGCCCTCAAACTCACAATCCTGCCTCACCCTCCCCAGTGCTGGATTACAGGTGTGTACATCACAGCTGATTCTCAAAGCCATGTTTTAAAAGATTAAAAAAACACATGAAAATAAACTTTAAAGCAGAGCATGGCACAGTAGTTATATCTGTAATCCCAGCTACTTGGGAGACTGAGGCCAGCCTCAGCAATTTAGCAGCCAGATCCTGTCTCAAAATAAAATATTAAAAAGTTCTAGGGGCTGGGGATTTAGCTCAGTGGTTCCACAGCCTGCCTCACAGGCACAAGGTCTGGAGTTCGATCCCCAGTACCAAAAAAAAAATATATATTAAAAAGTTCTGGGGATGTAGCTCAGTGACAGAGTGATTGTCTGACATGTGTGAGGCCCTGGGTTCAATCCTACAAAAAAAGTTTTAGTAATATATTGCATTTGCCCAGTGTATTCAAAATATTATTTCAACATGTACAGTAATCAGTATAGGACATTAATAAGATACCGTACATTTCTTTGTTCCTCCTATCTTTGAAATTGGTGTGATTGCACACTTACGCACACATCTCAATTCTGCCAGCCACATTCCAAGGCTCAATGGCCACATGTAGTGGTGCCATCGAATTGGACGTCCCAAGTCAAGCTCCCTGAAGTTTTCACTGCCGTCATATCCTGCTCAGTCTCTCCCCCTTCTTTGAGTTAGGGTCACAAACCTGCTGCACATCCCTGTGCTCAGAGTGCCCAGGATTCTCTTCTTCATCTCTGTCCCCTCTCAGTGCCCATGGGATAGCTCAACAGAACGAGGTTAAGAATCCATGAGCCTGAGGGCAGGATGGGGTGAGTGACAGCCCAGCAGCGCCTCAGGACTCACCAGGCATCGGCAGATCTGGCAGGGGTCCCTGGATGCAGTCCACTCTTGGCCATGGCCCCTGTGAGTGCCACCTTCTGTGCAGCTGGGGGCTGGGGACAGAGGAGGCCTGGTGGGAGTTGGCCCAGGCTCCAGCCTCAGCCTGCCCAGTGCTCTTCATATGCCTTCACCAGACCAGGCTAAACCTCTGCCTAGGCAGCGAAGCTCCCACCACAGACTGCCCCCAGGCCTTCCTGGACAGCACAGCCACACCCACCTACCCCAGCTACAGGTGAGTGTGGCTCCTCACCTCGTCCTCTAAGGTTTGGCCATCCATAGCTACTTGCACTGCACTCATACTGTACACACCCCCATGCTGAGGGGCAGGCCCAAGCCCTTGCTCACACTGCCCCTCTACCTGCAATGTCCTCTGCCTTCTTTGACCCATCACCCAGCTAACTGCTCTTTATCCTTAAAGGTCCCCTTCACAGTGGCTGCCTCTGGGGTTGTGTCCCTCCCAGGCCCAGGTGGATTTGGTGGTCTTCTGAACTTCCATACTACCTGGCCCCTGCTTTTATTTATTTATTTATTTTTTGGTACCAGGGATCGAACTTGGGTCCTTGAGCTTGCGAGGCAGGTGGCGGAACCACTGAGCTAAATCCCCAGCCCCCTGCTTTCATTTTATTTATTTATTTTTAATTTTTTTTTTCATTTAGGACTGCTTTATAGGATTGGTTTTTTGTTTTTATTTTTGTTTATTAAATTCTTTTATTGGTACATTGTAGGTATACAACACATTTACCTTTCTCATTGGGAATTGTACCTTTACATAATGCATCTTGGTTCTTATTTTTTCCCCATTCCTACCCCTCCCTTCACCCCCTCCACCCTTCCCTATTTACAAAGACTTTATTTCCATTTTTTCCATTTCTCATCGTTTTTCCTTTCCCTTCTTTCCTTTCCCCTGTCTCTCCCACTACCCCTACCCCTTTGGACCTTTTCTTCCTATTTTACATTATCGATTATTCATTCTAATCATTGGTACATTTTAGGTATGCAACATAATGACATTCATCATTGGAAATTTGCACCTTTACATAGCCTCTCTTGGTTCTTGTTTTTCACCCTTGCCCAGCCCTCCCTTCAACCCCTCCATTCCTCCCTATTTACAAAGATTTTGTTCCTATTTTTCCACTGTCTCATATTAATCCCATTCCCTTCTATCCTTTCCCCTAGCCCTCCCACTTCCTTCCCCTCTGCCCCTTTTCTTCCTATTTCACATTACCTATTATACATTTAGTCCTTATTTACACTTTCAGTTTCTCACACCAGAGAAACTATTCGGTATTTACATATGTGTGTCCTATTTATTTCACTTAAGAGGATGGCCTCAATGTGCATCCATTTAGCTATAAATGTCTCTAATTTCTCATTCTTTATGGCTGAGCAGTACTCCATTTTATATATTTTTTAAACCCACATTTTCTTGATCCAGTCTCCAGTTGATGGGCATTTGGGCTGTTTCCAAGTTTTAGCTATCACAAACTGTGCTGCTATGAACATGGGCGCCCATCTATCACTGTGGTATGATCCCTTTAATCCTTGGGGAAGATCCCCAGCAGTGGAATATCCCCTGCTTTTATTTCTGACCGTGACATTTGTTTCACAGTATTGGTGTATGACTCAGGGTCGCCCTCTGGTGGTCACCCCTGAAGGTCACTCCCCTCACCTTCTGTGTTGGGGTGCGAAAAGCAGGTAATAATGGTCATATATTACACAGCATTGTGGGATCTAGAATATCACTATGTGCACCTTAAAATGCGGAAACAGAGGCACAGAGTGACTTAGAGTCACACAACCACCAAGTGGCAATGGCAGAATTTGAGCTTGGGCATTGCAGCTCCAGAGCAGGCTTGGACTGGCATTACTCCCCACCATCACCATCAAACCAAATCAAGAGGCCAGTACGGTGGGCTGTGGAGGTGAGAAATAGCATGAGGGTCTGGCAGGGGCTCCATGAGGGAAGGGTCAGGGGCTCTCACCTTGGCAGGCTGGGCAGCAGTCTCCAGGCCTCAGAACTGGCTCGGGGCAGGGACTGGGTGGGCACTTCATGGGCACACAGCGAACCAGGCTCCTCTGTAATGCACCAATAGCTGTAGCCACCCTCGGGTCTCCCAGCAGGTATGGGGCGGGCAGGTGTCAGGCAGGGATGGAGGGAGGGCCTCACTGGTACCAGCTCTCAAAAGGCATATTATAAATGGCTAAAAGAGTGGCTGGCATGGCCCAGCCTGGGGCCTGGGCAGTGGTGGCAGAGGACTCACCAGGCAGGAGCACTGGAGACAAGGGTTGGAGATGGACAGGAAGCTGGCCCCCTCTTCGTGAAGCCGCCCCTCATACTCACAGCCTGGGGAGGGTTGCCAGGGTGATAGGTGCGTCACTAGAGAGCAGGGGTGAGCATCCCCAAGGGATAGTACGACCCCAAGTGGGAACTGGACGCACTGGGGGTAGGGAGAAGGAGGGGTGGGCGGAGTGGGAGGTCACCTGGCCGGCAGATGGGGCAGCACTCCCTGGGTGGGGTGTAGCTCTCCAGACAGTTGAGCTCAGAGCATGAGGGCCCCTGGCACTGCACGGTCCCTGCCTGTGGGTCAAGACACTCAGCCCCGCCTCCTCCCTCCCCACTGCCCGAGCCAGAGGACTCTTCAGGCCTTTGGCCTAGCAGGCTCCAGGCCTCAACACCTGGGTGGAGGCAGAAGCCTGGCCTGGCCTCCAGATTAGGATGGGTAGGATCAGGCCTGGGGCAGCAGGGATGCAGGTGATAGCCGGGGCGAGGCCCTGATTCTCTTACCTGGCAGGTGCAAGTGACACAGGGCTCTGGATGCCACGTTTCCCCTGACCTGTGGCCCTCAGGGCAGCCTGCAAAACCGGACTCAGAGGGCTGGGTGCCACATCACAGGGCCACCATTCAGGACCCAGCTATCAGAGTTTTATATTTACTACACCTTTCCAGCAGGTGACAGTCAAGTGTCTAACTGATGGAAACAATGTATTTATTTATTTATTCTTAATTTTTTGAGACAAGGTCTTGCTAAGTAGTTAAGGCTATCCTTGAACTCACTATGTAGCCCAGGCTGGCCTTAAACGTACAGGAATCCTCCTGCCTTAGCCTCCAGAGTGCTGGGATCATGGGCATGCATCACCACACCTGGCTCCTCGATGTATTTATTTTACAACAGATTGGACTAAAGTGCCTTTAAAGGGGTGTCTTTCTTTTAAATGAAAGGCCACCATTACTCCATGGATCCAACCAGTCACCAATCCCTGCACATTCTTTAGAAACACTTTGTTATTTGCAGCCTCCTACCATCTCTGGCTCCATGCCTAGACAAGGACTGTAAAAGCCCCCAACTGGTCTCTCTGCATCCAGCCCACACCAGCTGAATATTCCTAAACATTATATTTGAATATGTCACACTCTGGCTCTTCAGCCTTCAAAAGTTCCCTACTGCCCACAGAAGAAAGCCCAACTGCAGGGCTTATCACAGCCTGTTTCCACTGGCCCTCCTGGACTGATTCTTGGAATACATTTCTCCCTGCCTGGTTCCTATTCAGAGGGACCTCAAGTTCTCCTTCTCCTGGAGAAATCCCACCTTCCCTTGAAGATCCAGTGCAAATGACCCCTGGGCTACAAAGGCCTTCCTAACTGCCTACCTGCTCAGATGGGTGTCCCCTGCCCTCCTGTTCCTTCCTCTGGGAAAGCATGCACTGTCTTCTACATCTCTTTTTTTTTTTTTTTTTTGGTACCGGGGATTGAACTCGGGTCCTTGTGCTTGCGAGGCAGGCGACAGAACCACTGGGCTAAATCCCTGGCCCATGTCTTCTACATCTCCTAATCTGTTCATTGGATCTTAAATCTTGTGATAGATTAGCTGTAAATTTATCTTCTCAACTAGACCAGAAGCTCCTCAGGGTCCTGATAATCTTTGATGCATCCCAGGGCAGCGTCAGCATTTGCTGGCTCCAGCTCAGCTCAGCACTCACCAGGCACCATCACAGGGTTTCTTCAGCTCTGCTCTCTCTCTCTGTCAGGTCCCCCAGGGCACAACCAGGAGGGAGGGCAGGGCCTGTAGCATGCTGACCTGGTTCACAGTGTGGGCAGCATGCTCCCAGCTCAGGGCAGGGTGCTCTTGGGCATGGCTTCTGGGTACAGGTGATGGCCCCTTCCTGTGGAAGCAGCTAGGGTGACTGCAGGGCCTTCCGAACTCCAGACTCACCCCAGGCAGGAATGTGTCCAGAAGCAGAGGATGAGCTGGCTCAGCATACATGCTACCCCAGCCCAAGGGCAGAAAAGAGATGTCCCATCCACCCCACCATTCCTGAAGCCCTTGACCCCTTGGAACCCGCTTCTCCAGGTGCCAGCAACTTCCCCAGAGTGGAGAGATCCTAGGAAGAGAACCCAGGGCTTTCTCAGTGGAGGAGTAGGAAAGAAAAGGCCAGGAGAAAAGGCCATGGAGGAAGTGACAGAAAGCAGGCAGTGGAAATGTGAGGTAGCAGATGAGGTGGGGTGAGGGCAACAGCGCTCGTCACACAGGAGAGGGTTTGAGGAAAGAAGATAGTAACTACATCCTCTGGCCCCCATGCCACTCTTTGTCAAGGCAAAATCAAGGGGCTTGAGGCTTGGGGGGGGGTTGCACTTCAGACAGCAGACCCCCAGAGAATCAGCCCAAGGCCACCAGGGGCAAGAACCCATCACACAATATCCAGTCCCAGCACCTAGTGATGGGGAGCTGGAGGGAGGGCGTGGGAACTCACCAGGCAGAGGCAGGAGGTGCAGGTGTCTGGGGAGAACGTCTCCCCATTACCACAGACCTGACCATTGTGGCTGCAGCCTGAGGAGGAGACAGTGTGGCACTCAGGCCCAACACCATCTCCAGGCCCTGAAGTGGCTCAGTGGGTAGATTGGGTGGCACTAACGTTGGCAGTGGGGCAGCTCAGGCCGAGGGCCACAGCGTGCTGCCCCGTCCTGGCAGATGCAGGCTGTGCAGGCATTGGGCTCCCAGCAAGACCCCTCAGGCCAGGCGCGCCCAAGCCCCCAGCACTGGACAGAGGCAGGGCGGCATTCACAGGACTCCAGCCGCCTCACTCTGGCCTGCAGGTCCTCATTCTGGGGAAGAGATGGGACTACAGCTCAGCCTTTCCATGTCTCATGGATTCATGAGGTGCAAAAACGGAGTCAGGATGAGAATTTGACAACTCCACGGCAGAGGCCGGTCTCCTTCTGTCAGCATCCGTCTCACATGGTTCTCAGGGAGCACAGGTCCATCCTTGGGCAGAAAGGGCAGCAGTCCCCACCCTCACCCCGTGCCTGGCAGGTGCTTCATTATGAAGGGCACGGAAATCCACACACCACAAATACTCTGGAGATTCTTCACTCATGAGAGAATGGATGTTAAAGACTGTTCAGATGAGATCTTCTCTGTGTGCTTTTGAAGTGAAACTATTTTAGGGTCCCCAGGGACCCCCAACCCTCTCTTCTCCTCCCAGTATGCAAAAGTCCACCCCACCCCAAACATGCAGCCCTGCCTCTATGGTACCTGCTCTCTGAGCTTGGGCACCTCAGCCTCCAGCCACCCCAGCCGTTCCTCCAAGGGGTGCCACTGTTTCTGGGGGCTCCCAACAGGGAGTGGGCAGGTGACTGAGGAGTGGGCAGGTGCCTGCTGCTGGTAGCCATGGATATCAGCAAGCCTGGGAGTCTCCCTGAGGATAGCTTCACCTGAAGGGCACAAGAATCCACCGGAGGTCGAGTGCTGCTTCTGTCCTCTAAACGCAGGGGAGGGTCACTTTGTACCCCACCACCCAGGCAAGGAGACATGGTCTGTTTTGTTTTGTTTTTTCCTTTTTCCTTTGGTTTTTTTGAGACAGGGGCTCATTATGCAGTTCAGGCTGACCTTGAACTCACTATGTAACCTAGGCTGGCCTCGAACTTGAAGTGATCCTCCTGCCTCAGCCTCCTAAGTACTGGGATAACAGGTATGCGCCACCACACCCAGCTTTATTTTATTTTTCATACAGGCTGTCCTTGAATTCACCATGTAGTCCAGGCTGGCCTCAAACTCAAGGCAACCCTCCTGCCTCAGCCTCTTTAGTGCTGGGATTACAGGCGTGCTCCACCACACCGGGCTAGGTCTGTGAGAGTTGAAAGCTGGGGCAGGACATGTAAGAAGTAAGGAAACCTGGAGGAGACAAAAGTGGTCCAGACCAGTTTTCTCTTCTTGTCCTCGTGACCCCCAGGGACACTGACCCGCAGGGAGTTACAGAGCAGTACCAGACCAGGGCCTCCCTGCAGCCTGGCTGACTCCATGAAGATCTCTGTTACAAGAATACCAGGATCGTCCATCCTCCAGGGCCAGCAATGGCCCAGGGACCTGACATGTCTCTGACGTGTCATGCTGCAGGGGCCCAAAAGCCAGCACAGGCTGCAATGCAGGGAAGATAAGGCAGCTACTTCTGTGTGCGTAACCCCCACCCTCCACTGCCCATCTACACCCGTCAGAAAGGGCGCCACTGTGGGGCATGGGGCTCAGGAAAGGGCACCGCTTACGCCCGTCCACCTCCAGCCTGAGCAGTGTCCTAAGCCTGTGGCACTGGGTCTGGGGCTCCCCGTGGGGGGTAGGGGGACTGTAGAACTTGAGACCAGATTGCGTTTCCTGAAGGACTTGGAGGAGTACTGGCAAAGCCTCCACTAGCTTCCAGTAACCCAGGCCAGGGAAGCAGCCTGTCCCTGGCTCTGGATGACACTGTAGGAGGGAAGGGGGCAGGGCACCTCTGAGTTCAGGCCTGAGGATGGAGACTTACCGCTATCACCTCACCTCATCCTGCTCTCCTGAGTTAGGAAAGGGGGCTGGCGGGGGAGGGCAGGTGGACTGCAAGCTCCCTACACGCAGACGTCCAGGCGGGGTTGGGGACAGCAGAGGGCCTTGAGGAGGAGACAGAGGGAGAGGAGAGGCCTTTCCCACAGTGGCAGCTCACTAGTGAGGCCATCCTGGGCTGGCTGGAGGGTTTCTCAGATACTATGCCCAAGAGGCAGGGAAGCAATGTCATCCACTCCCCACCCCAGCCCCCGCCACCACCAAGGGGAGAGGGGAGTCTGGTCCAAAACCTGCTTTGTCCAAGTTCTTTGGCTTGATTAATCCCACCCCATCGACCCAGGTACCTAAGTCAGAAATGTGTAACTCTGCACCCCTCCCCAATCCCATCAGTCTCCAATCTCCCCATTTCCCCTAAGCCACCCCTCCGCTCTTCCCCCAGCTGTCTACAGACCTCTGTCAGCTTGACTTTTGAGTCACACAGGCAGAGGCCCCAGCAGGAAGTTCCAGTGTGACCCCCCCCCAGCAGCACCCCTCTTTGCACCCCCAGGAGTGCTCAGCCCCCTGCCTCATACCATCAGCACCCAAGCCACTTGTTCCTGCTCCTGTCCATGCCTGCGTGCAGGTGCAGGCATCCTGCCACCAGGAATGGCACTCTGTCTTGACCTGGCCCTTGTGCCCACCTTGCTCCCCACTCACATGGAGGGCACTCAAGGGCAGGGTCTCTGAATCTGAAACCCTAGGGGCTCTCCCTACCCCAGGGGCCTTGCTCCCAGGTCCCTCCTCCAGTCCGGCTTAAGCTACAGCTAATGACCAGGAGCATGGGGGCCCAGGGACACCTTCCAAAAGGGCTTCTGAGGGTGGCACAGGCCTGACTTCTCCTGTGGAACTGTCCCCCACTCCCAGCTCCTCTCAGAGCCTTCCCCTGCCCTTTCCCTGCAGGGCCCCCCACTCCTGCCTGCCCCCTGTGGGGAGGGATGGAGCGACTCCAAGCCTGCTCCCACAGCAAGCCTCCTTGCCCCTCCTCCTTTCCCAAGACAAATAATTAACTTCAGACTCTCAGATGCCAGAGCAGCCTCTCCCCCACCCGCGCGGCCGCGCCGAAATCAGGCTCCCCAACGGAAGGAGGAACCCCTCCCCCTGCCTGGCCCCCACCTTGGCCAGGTTCCCCCATCCTGCTCCCAGTCAGCTGAGAGGGCGAGGGGCGACAGCCCGGTGGGACCAGGGAGCAGCGCGGGTCCCCGCAAGGGCCTCGGGTTAGCCTGAGCAGGGTGCCCTCGGCCCAGACTCACCTTCGGGGGCCCTGCCCGCTACCAGCGCCAGGCTGCCGAGTTGCAGCAGCGGGGACAGCCGCGCCGCGCGGGGCCCAGCCATGCTCCTCCGCCCCTGCCTCGATGTCTGTAGTCTCGGCTCAGCAGGCGCTGGGGGGCGGGGTGGGGAGGAACAGGCCGCCTCCGCCTCCCACCCAGTCTTTGTTCACCGAGGGCCCCTGGCTTCCCGCTCCGAAGTGCCCGCCTCCTCGATGGCCACCTCGCCTGGGCCCCAGCCCCGTCCTGAGCCCAGCCAGCAGCCCCAACGGGGGCCCTGGAGGTGTGCGGTCTCCTGTAGATGACCCAGCAGGAGACACTGAGCATAAACAGAGTCACAGCTCGGGGCTCTGGGACTGTCCCTGGCTGATCTTCGGGATGCTCCATCCTCCCGAGGTTTCTCAGTTTAGCTTTTCCCATCTCAGGGGTTTACAAGAAAAAACAGACTGTTGGGGCCGGGGATTTAGCTCAGTGGTTTCGCCGCCTGCTGCGCAAGCGCAAGGATCCGAGTTCGATCCCCGATACCAAAAAAAGAAAAAAGAAAAACAGACTGAACTGGGTTCAAATCCCTGCGTGGTCAATTCCATGTGGCTTAAGATAGACATGCTAACTTCTCTATGCCTCAGTTTTCCTGTTTGTAAGTCACAGGTCACAACATGTACCTCACAAGAACTGAGATTATGCAGATAAAGAGTTTAAGATAGTGGTTAGCAAGTGCTAAGTGCTCAGCTAGTAGTAATATTAGGTGCTAAACTGTCTCTGAAATCAAGGATATTCAATCTACTCTCTCTCCACCTCTACATTTCCTTCCTGGATTCCACTCACCCCTTCTACCTACCCAGCAGCTCCAGGATTGGCTCCAATGCTGTGGCTTCCCCTCACTGGCTGATCCTGGCCCCACTTTCCAGCTGCTGAGCTCAAGCTAGGCCTGTGGGGTGAGCCTGGGTAGGGGGCAGGGCTGGGCCTGGGGCTGAGCTGACGGAGAAGCCCAAGGGAGGAAATGAGGGAGGCTGGGAAACTCCTCAGTGCAGCTGGGAAGCAGAGGGAGGTCAGACGGGCCCCAAGTTTACAGGCAAAGAGGGACATTGAGGGCCGAGCTGTGAATCCTGCCAAAGCAGTCTCCTTCCCACCGGAAAACCAGGAGTGAGAAGCCACCCCCTACCCAAGCCGGGCAGGGCCTGAAGGTCTCCCCCAGCCCCTCTGCCCAAAGGGAGGGCGACAGCCCTTCCCCAGGCATGTGCTCCCCTAAGCTAAGGAGGCCTGAGTAGAGTGCAGCCTCCTAAGAGAGGCTGTGACTCAGCCTGGCCTCTAGGACCTGGAGCTGGGGTCACAGAGCAGAGGAAAGGCGGGGCCAGTCAGCTGGAAAAGGAATAAGGAAGTGGCAGCTGTCTTCCCACCAAGCTTAGGAAAATCCTTTCTGTTCACTGGATGCCGCTTAGGAGGCCTGTCCTGGGGAATCCATGACCACAGACTCCGCCTGGGTCAGCCACCCGCTGCTGTGTGACTTCGGACAAACCACTTCAATTTCAGTGCCTAATTTCTCTTAGCTGCAACCGTGAGCTCTAAAAACACCTGCCTCAGGGCTGGGGATTTAGCTCAGTGGTTTCGCCACCTGCTGTGCAAGCGCAAGGATCTGAGTTTGATTCCTGGTACCAATAAATAAACAAACAAACAAACAAACAAACCTGCCTCAAAAGATTAACACCCGAAAAGAGCAACTAGCCTAGAGCCTGACCTATGCATATGAAGTCTTTACTACTGATCTGTGCTAAGACCCTGCAGGTGGGGATGGCTTTGTCCTCATTTCACATGGGAGCCAGCTGGGAGATACTGGGTAAGTGCCCTGGGCACAGCCCACAGAGCCCGGATTCGATGCAGATCACTGGCAAACTCACTCTCCCACTCCCTGAGAGGAGCATTTCCTATGTTCCCACAGTTTTCCCCTTATCCACTGTACCATCTTGGCAAGTTATTGAACTTTCTCAGTCTCAGGTTCCTCCCCTGAGAACCGGGGATGAGAAGTGTACTTCTGTTACCAGGAGTGGTGGTGCATGTCTGTAATCCTAGCACTCAGGAGGCTGAGGCAGGAGAGTTGAGCATTCAAGGCCAGCTTGAGCTACAAAATAAGAACCCTGTCGCCAACAACAACAGAGTACCAGTGTCACAGCTATTGTAAGGACTGTTTGAGCCTGTGTTCTCTGAGGGCAAAGCATGAGACAAAGGCTTGCAGCAGTTATTTTGGAATGTGATCCCAGGGGGGAACACTGAAACAGGGAGGGATGGGCAGCCCTGTAAGGTTGCATGATGGAGCTGGCCACTGCTACGGGCATCTGAGTGTCCGATCGCTCAGGACCACCTGAGCAATGTAAAAGGCAGGCAGTGAGTGCAAGCACCAGAGGAATTCCAAAGGGAGGGAGGCCATGTTTACAGCCAGGCCTGAGGCAAGATGCTGTCAGGATGCACCTGTGTGGTGCTGCTTGCAGCCTGTGTGGAACTGGAGTGAGGAGGTACCAGGATTTGCACCAGAGGTGTCCGACACAACATATTAAATGAAATAATGCACAGAAAATGCTTTTTGTGTAGCCTGGCACATTTTAAGCACCCATAATATGTTACTACATTATCATAATCGTCATCTTCCACCAAGGTCCAAAGTGAAAAGTCAGTATTAACATTCTTTATTTGCAACAGAAGGTAAGGAAACTTCTGGAAAATTCACTCTATGAAATCAGAGCCCAGCGTCCTGAGGAAAGGGAGATCATTTGAGTTCCACGATTGAGCAACCAATGTGAGCCTCTTTTGTGTCAGGCACTGTCTAGACTTGAGGCACAGCAGTGAATGAGGCAGAACCCCAGTGCAGGCTCAGCGCAGGGGCTTGTCAGGCTTGGAGTAAAGGGCTCTGCTCCTCCACTGGGCCAGGGGACCACGGGCAGCCTTCCTGGCCTGACAACAACAACGACGACAAGGAGCATCTCAGCTGGAGAAAGAAGGACCTGACTGAGGCCCCGCTTGGCCTGGCGAGCCCCTGTGTGAGACTGCAGGCTTCCTTACATTATGAGGGGACCCCAGGGAAGGCACTGGGCATAGGAGCGTGCAATGCTGGGGAAGTGGAAGAGGCAGAGTGTGAGTCAGTGAGTTCTGAGTTCTGTTCCTGCCGCAAACTTCCTGACTGAGCTGGTTGCTCTGCATTTCTTGCCCTCCTCCTCTACGGACCTGTTGCAGCCCCTACAGATCGAAGCACTCCGGGTCTTCATGTCTTCTGGCTTAGGCACTTGCAGAGTCCAGAGGGCAAGAGAGGGAACAGTGGGGGTTTTCTTTCCTGGCCTCCTCCTGCTCTCCTGGGTTCCTTTGCCCCCACTCTCCCTTCTCTCCCTTCTTCTCTCCCTTCGTCAGGGGTGGCAATGGCTGCCTACTCTTGTTAGTCCCTAGTGCCTCCATAGACCTTGTTGGCTCTCTTAACTATGTCTGCAGATCGCGAATAATCCCTTCTTTAAATTTCCTGTAGCACCAAGCAAGGTGGCACACACCTACCTGTAATCCCAGCTACTCCAGAAGCCGAGGCAGGAGGATGGCAGGTTTGAGGCCAGGCTGGGCAAATTAGCAAGATCCTGTCTCAAAATTAAAAATGAAAAGGAGGACTAGGGATGTAGCTCAGTGTGAAGGCTCTGGGTTCAATCTCTAGTACCAAAAAGAAAAAAAGAAAAACAAATATTTTAGCTAAATCCTTCTGAGGAGAATTCATCTCCCTAAGCCAAAATTTTCCATCTACAAAGTGAAGTAAAAGCCCCTTCCTTGTGTGCCTGATGTGTGCATGGCATCTGACACATAGGAGACCCCGACATGAGTTACTTACTCTTACTCTTTCCTGCTGTACTGTCAGTAGCAGCAGGTTGGTTTTCTCTCTGGATTTGGTGGCTGAGAGCAAAAGGCCATTGTGGGAGGGAGGAAAGGGATTAAATAAATGACTAAATTTTTCTACTTCATTTGATACCTTTCAAATCACAACATTTGTGACCAGTGAAACAAGATACATTTGACAAGGGTATAAAGCCATTCTGTCTGCTGCAGTCCCTTGTCACATCCACAGCTACCACACTGATATAACCAATGGTAACAGCCTGAGGCAATTTTCACCACTCTTCACCTGGCTCCCAGAACCAGAGACAAGCATGTGTGCACAAGTGGTTTAGTTTCTGGAACAAGCTATGCGGGACCCAGCACCTGCCCCATGTCCCCCATGACCCTTGGCAAATCACTTCCAGATCACCTCTCTGAGTAGTTCCCATCTCAACCCTCCCAAGTCCCCCTGCTCAAAATACCATGTTCATCCCAAGAAAAGGACCCCGGCTGAGTAGCTGCAGCCAGTAAGGAATGTGCTGTTTACCAGGGAGCTGAGACTCTGATCCCACAAGGCAAACTCATAACCCACAGTCTGGCTACACCTCCTCCGAATTCAGCCTGAATAGCTCACAGCTTTAGAGGGAGTCTCCTTTGCTCAACCTTAGAATACTCACTGGGCACAGCACCGAGCTTCGGATGCTTGCTGAAGCAGGAAATGTCAGGCTGAGTACTGATGGTTTGCTGCTCCCAGGGTAATGGTCAGTTGGTACCACACTTCCTCATCAACTGGAGCCTGCTAGGATTGTAGGAGGGGCCTTTTCATTTTGATTCATTTCTGATAGGGAGAGAGTTGGGTCACATTGAAACGCACATCCCGGCCAGCCCTGGCAGGGGCAGGAGGTCCCTTCTAGGCGCGCACACAGTGTCATCCAAGCCCAACATCCTGCAGCCCGGCAGGAGCTTCACCAGCCCGGAGACCAAGCGCCCGGGTGCCTCTTCCCACCTGGAGCTTCTCAGGACTCTTCTGATTTTCCTTTCTCAAAGGCTGACCCTAAGGTAAGAGGGTAGGAACCGAGGTGTTCCCTCCTCTCTGCCACCCCTATGTATTTATCCCTTAGGGCCCTGCTCTGAGCTTTCCACAATGCCTCCTGTGGTCCAGCAGAACTCTCGGCAACGATGGTGCTTTCTGTGTCTGGGCTGCCCAGTATGATGGCCGCACGAAGCTAACAGAGAGCCTGGAGTGTGGCTAATGCAACTGAGCAGCTGGATTTTTTTTCTTTCCTCTTCTTTCTCTTTCTTTTGTTTCAGTACTGGGCATTGAACACAGGGCCTCACACATGCAAGACAAGCACTCTACCACTGAGCTATATCCCCAGTCTCTTTTTATGTTTCTTTTTGAGACAAGATCTTGCTAAGTTTCCCAGGCTGAGCTTGAACTTGTGATCCTCCTGTCTCAGCCTCCTGGGATTACAGGCTTGTGCCACCATGCTCTGCTGGAGTTTTCACTGTAATTTAATAACTTTGGGGGGGGGTTTCCTGGGATTGAACTCGGGACCTTTTGCTTGGGAGGCAGATGCCAGAACCACTGAGCTAAATCCCTGGCCCAAGGCAACTTTTGTGTGAATTAGTAAAAGTTGCCACTCCTCAAGACAGTTCCTGTGGGTTAGCCAAGTTTCTGACAGACCACAGGGAGTGAGGTAAAGGAGAACACCTAGAGTTATGCAGCTCACAGCCCTGGGTGGCAGCCTGGGCCCTGGGATCCCCCTGTCCACTACTGGTGGCAGTGATAATAACACGTGAGCCAGGCATCCTCAGTGGGAGCTGGGCCTGCACTGGGGGCTACAGGGACAGTCAGGTCACTAGGATCTGTGCCCCCGCTGCTCTAGGAGGTGGTGCTGTGCCACCCCAGGAACTGACAGGTGGGGAATAGAAGCAGCTTCACCAGAGGACAGGAACCGGCTGTCACCCCAGCCTTGGCTGTTCCAGATCTGCAGCCACTGCAGAGATGTCTGCTTGATTCTCTCCCACTGCCTGGACTTCTCTGCTCACTGAGGACCACAGCTTCTCCCGGTGCTCCCCAGCTGTCCCCCAGCCCTGGGCCTCTCTCTGCTGAGGATCCATGCTGACTCTGCCCCAGCGCCCTGGGGCCAGGTCTTTGTCATCTTTGCCCCACAGACCACATCTGTGGGCACTGAACAGGCGGCTAGATGGGGGCTGGCTGAATAGGGGCACTGCCTGCCTTCCCAGGCCTCTCTGCTTTGGCTTAGCTCAGAACCTCTCGGCCACCCTCTTGAGCCCTTAGCTCTGAGCTGCCAGCGTCCATCTTCCCAGCGAGTGGCTAGAGGAGACACTGTCTCTCAGGAGTTTGGGCCAAGACTAGTTAAGGGACTCCCTGATCCAGAGTCTCACCCAGCACCGTAAGTCGCACCTCCAATTTATGGGCTAACAGGACCTTAGGGAGGGGCCGGAGGGATGGCAGCTGCTCCTGCCACCTGACACAAGGGAGAATCCAATGGCAAGAGGGTAGAGGTAGTGGACCAATACTACAGCTAGGCCATCTTGAGGCACCAGATGTCCTGGCACCCAGTGGGCCAAGGGAATCCGGTGGTACTTGAGGTTGAACCAAGGGTTTTTTGTTTGTTTCTTTGTTTTTGGTACCAGGGATCAAACTCAGGACCTTGCTCTTGCAAGGCAGGAAGCGGCACTACTGAGCCAAATCCCCAGCCTTGAATCAAAGGTCTTTACACTGAGCTGCACCCCCAGGCCTTATTTATTTATTCATTCATTGTAGTATGTTGGAATCACAGGCGTGTACCACCACACCCAGCTGGTACCCCCTTTGTTGGTAACAGCTTTTTTGAAATATAATTCTCATAACATACAAGTCACCCACTTCTAGTGTACAATTCCATAATTTACTATCCAGTTGGCCCTTCATACCCAATGGTTCCACATCCACACATCCATCCAACTTTGGTTTGATTTCTTTTTTTTTGAGACAGGGTCTCACTATGTAGCCAGGCTGGCCTTGAACTCACTATGTAGCCCAGGCTGGCCTTGAACTCTTGGTGATCCTCCTGCCTCAGCCTCCCAAGTGCTGGGATCATAGGTGTGTGCAACCACGTCTGGCATCCAACCATGGTTTGAAAATATTTTTTAAAATACTGTATTTGCAGTTGTACCAAGAGGTACAGACTTTTTTCTTGCCGTTACTCCCTGAACAATGAAGTATAATGGCTGTTTACAGTGTATTAAGTACTGTGAGTAATCTAGATATGAAGCACACATGAGGATGTGCTTAGGTGCTATGCAAATGCTCTACCATTTGTATGTGGGACATAGCTCAGCAGTTCCTCTGCCTGCCTCACAAGCACAAGGTCCTGAGTTCAATACCTGGTACCAAAAAAAAAAAGTTATGCCAAGGATTTAGCTCAGTGGTTCTGCCACCTGCCCTGCAAGTGTAAGGACCCGAGTTCGATCCCTGGTACCAATATATATATCCATCCACAGGACTTATGTATGGACTTTGGTATCTGCTGGGGTCCTGGAACCAGTCCTCCTCCTCCTCCCACAGATACTGTTGGACGACTGTATTCACAGACTCGTGCAACCATCACTACAATCAATTTTAGAATATTTCATCACCCCAAAAAGAAGCCCTGTACCCTACTTTCCACCACATCCTGGGCCCCAGGCAAGCCATGGATCTACAGTTTTCTCACAGGAGTTGCCCATTTTACATAGTGCATATAAGTGAAGTCTTACGCATGTGGTCCATCATGATCTGACTTCCTTCACTTAGCATGTTTTCAAGGTTGGTCCTGCACCCTTGGACAGGCAAGACCAGGGGACCCATCAACTTCTGCCAAACCCCAAAGTCTCCTGGGAGATGAGTCCTGTACAGAAGGGGTGATTTACAAACAGACCAGGACCGATGTTTGGGTGACATATGCAGGACAGAGAATGCACCCACACAGGTGAGCAGGTGCCCAGCACTGCTCCGGGTGCTTCCTGGTCCCGCCAGGGGCAGAGGGAAAAGTAACCCTCCCTCCCTCTCGCTGCCAGCGGCCCCGCCTCCCAGGGCTTTGAGACTTGTGTCATGTCCGTTCTTGCCACTAGGGGGCGTGCGCGGGGCAACTCAGCAGCCGCCCTGGGGAAGAGCTCCCTATGCTAATCAGGGCGAGTAATGTTGACTGTGTGCGTCCCTGAGTGGCCCAGGTAGAGAAGGCCGGGTCTGGGACCCATTCCTTGTGTCCAAGGAGAGCAAAGAAGGGCAAAGCCTCTTTCTGGAGGGCTGTGTGGGCCCCGCAGAGAGTTTGGGGCAGGGTGCCCCCCATTCCACCAGCCCCAGGGCTTTGCTCTTGCTCAGGATCCTTCACAGGATCTAGAAGGGTGCACTTGGAAAATAACTCTGAAAGGCCTGGAAGAGTGGGAATCCTGCGGAAACAGCCCACCTGGTTCTTAGTGCCAGTAGGAAACAGCCCCTCCGAGTTCATTCAGTCATTTATCTAAAAATACCTTTCCTTAATTAATTCAAGAACTCCCAGCCTGGAAGAGGATCAAATGTCGTGTTTGGCTGTCCCTGAGGGAGCCTGGGGTAACCTTGGATCTCAGGCTTTGCTTCCCATGTGACTCTGGCTCCTCCTCACTCCATCTCTGCCTTTTCTGCCTTACTCTGTGCTCTGCTGAGCAGCCACTGTTGAGATTCCTGCTATCACTTCTACAGTATGCTGTGTGTTCTGGGGTAAATTGCCTCACCTTTCTGAACTTCTGTGGTTTAAGATGAAGATAAAGCATAAGCCTGCTTAGTATAGTTGTCATGAGAACAAATTCGACCCCCATGTTTGGTGCAGTGTAGGTTAAGTTGTAAATACTGTTACAGGCTGAATTGGCTTGTTTTGTTCTATTTCGGTCTTGGTTTTTTTGAGACAGGGTCTCACTATGTAGTCCAGGCTGGCCTTGAACTCACTATGTAGCCCAGGCTGGCTTTGACTCGGGGATCCTCCTGCCTCAGCCTCCTGTGTGCTGGGATTAGTCATGTGTCACCATGCCTGGCTGTTAGGGATGAATTGTGTCCCTGTCTCCTAAATTCATGTGTCAAAGTTCTAACCTCCACTACCTCAGAATGTGACCTTGCTTGGAAATAGGGTCACTGCACGCATAATTAGGGGGTCTGGGTCCACTTTGACCCTTATGTGAGGGGCTATTTGGACACAGAGGCACACAGAGAACACCGGGGAAGGGGAAGGCAGAGATCTGGGTGCTGCTTCTACCAGCCAAGGGACACTAAAAATAATACGAAGAAGGCAAAGAAGTGGAGAGGTTAGCAAGGTTCTCTGCTTACTCCTTTGTAAACAGTAGAAAATAACGCCCACCTCCTAGTGGCTGACTGGCAATTAAAGGCAAAAAATGTATAAAAAGGGGTTAACAGAGTCAAGGTCTCCTTATTCTATTATCTAGTTATCCACCTGACTCCAAAGTGATACAGTGTCACTCATGGTTTAGTTAACTTTGTTTTTCTTTTTGTCTTGAGACAGGGTGTCCCTTTGTGGCCCAGGCTGGCCTGGAACTCACAATAATCCTCCTGCCTCAGCCTCCCCAAGGCTGGGATTAGAGGCGTGTGCCACCCTGCCAGGCTCTGAGCCTGGACTTTCTAGATGCTCCGATGACTGCTACTGCAAAGCCAACCATCCTTAGAGTTGGGGGCTGGTGAGGAAGCCCCTGCAAATTCTTTCCTGCCTGAGCAAGTGCCTCTTTCTTCTTCCCATTTGCCCCTCACACCCATCCCTCGGCCATGGCCTCTGGCCAGCTGTGAGGAGATCTCAGCATCCCTGTGGCTTTGGAAATGCTGCCCCCAGAGAGACAGAGGAGACCAGGCCCTCTGGACTGGCCCAGGTGGGCAGAGACTCTCCTGAATCCCACACGACCCCACATGCCCCCCAGACTGGTGGCCCCAGTCTGCCTGGCACAGTGGCCTGGGTGGGTATCAAGGTTGGAGCTGGCTCCTGGCTTGGAGAACTGCAAAATATGGAGGTCCCTTGAACTCACAACTGTAATCCAGCACTCTGGGGGGCTGAGGCAGGAGGATTCCAAGTTTGATCCCAGCCTAGGCAACATAGTGACTTAGTGAAAACTTGTCTCAAAATAAAATAAAGAAAGGTTTGAAGGCCAGGTGTGGTGGTGCATGCCTGTAATCCCAGCACTTGGGAGGCTGAGGCAGGAGAATCACCGTGAGTTTGAGGCCAGCCTGGGACACATAGTGAGTTCAAGGCCAGCCTAAACCACATAACAAGACCCTGTTTTAAAGAAACAAAACAAAACAAGACAAAACAAAAGAGAGATAGCTTAGTATGAAGGCCCTGAGTTCAATCCTCAGTGCCACAACAAACAATAACAAAACCTGAGGTCCCAGGACATTGGCCAGTAAGAACACAACCCCAGGTCCCCTCTAGTGAGGTGTGGCACCCGCCTCTTGCCTGGGAGGGGCCAAGAGAGGGGAAGGTGGCTCTCATCTCCCAGTGCTCCCCAAGATCTAGGGCCCATCCTGCCATCCTGGCTAGGATTGAGTCTCTCTTTTTCTACCTCAAGAGATCCCCAGCCTTGGTCCTGAGGCACACGGGCTTGGAATGAGTATGGCTCTTAAGAGCTCAGGAGCCTGAGGCCTAGGGTCCTCTCTGCTCCCCACACTGAAGATGGGTGACTGTCCTGCATCTGGCTGCGACATGTCTACCTGATGGGGACAGCTGCAGACTCTGAGCTTCACCTAGGTTCCTCTTGGGACAAAGGAAGGCACTGAAGGTTGCCAGCCCGCTCCTGTGTTGGCAACACAAGGCCCAGCTAATCCTGCTGCAGGGGCCCCGGGAAGCTGAGGTTTGCAGTGAGCTTTCCTCCCCTGCTTTTCCTCCTCAACCCAGCACCACACACTCAGCATGTGCTTTCTACAGGCAAGAGGGACGCCCTGGCCCTTCTGTGACGAAGCCCAGCGGCAGGGAGGGAAGTGGTGCAGGGAATGCTGAGCTCAGCAGATGGTAGGAGGCTTGAATCCAATGGAGTGGGGGGTGGGGTCTGGGTGGACATCAAGGGTGGGGATGGGGGCCCAAGGAAGACTCAGGGCGCCCAGCTTTGTGGGGGGGAACACCCAGCTGGAAGGCGAGGGGTCTTCACCGCAGCGTTTACAGGAGATAGGAGAGGTCCAGGCAATAGTGAACAGCTGGGATCTAGGCCTTTAAATGAAGGAGTGGGGGCTAGTACAAAAGGACTGGCCTTCGGGGGGTTCCTCAGGGTTTGGGGCCAGCTTGAGCTGTGGGTCCAAGGCCCGGAGGAAGAAGTAAAACCAGAAGCAAGTGCAGGGGCAGGGGTGGAGCAGGTCACAGGGCACCAGGGAGAGGAGGGAACCAGTAAAGAAAAGGGAAGCAGCGTGGTTCTTAATGGGGCAAAGGGAGGAAGGACTCAGGGCCTGGTGGAGGGGCGTCTGGGCAGCTTCCTAGACCTTAAGCCAGATGTGAGGGCGATCTGGCGGCAACATCTGTCACCCCATTGATCGCCAGGGTTGCTTCGGCTGATCTGGCTGCCCAGGCCAGTGTCCCCTTCCTCCCTCACCGTTCCATGTGTGTCCCTCCTGAAGCTGCGCACTGGGTCAAAGAGGAGGACGGCTTCCTCGGTCAAGGGTGTACAAGTAGCTGTGCTCCCCTTCGAGAACCTCCAAACAAGCTCTCAAGGTTCTCGATGTCAAGCCATGGGAAGAGAGACGGGCGGGTGGGCTGGCAAAGCTGGGGGCCTGGGATGCGGCTTCAGCTCCGGGGTACAGAACTTGCCTGGCTTGCATGAGGCCCTGGCTTGATCCCTCATGTAGTCAAAAATAAGTGGGAACCTGAGGTGTCGAGGTGTCCGTGACAGTGCTGATCAAGTGGGGGACTTCCAGGTCACAGCCCCACAAAGGTCTGAGGAGGCAGCAGTCAGCAAGAAACAGAGAAGCTCCAGCTTTGGTGTCCTGGGCATTGATGATGAAGCTACTAGAAACCACAGGGTGTGGTCACAAAGAGCCAGGGGAGTCATGGTGAAACCCACATCAGATTCCGTCCTGCCTCTGTTCTGAACCCTCCAGCGACTCCAGCTTGAACAAAGCCATGGCCTGTGTGATGCCCCACAAGGCCCTACCCAACTGTGTTACTTGAGAATTTATGGTTGCTGGGTGTGCACTCTGGGAGCCTGAGGCAGGATGATCCCATGTTTTAGCCCAGCCTGGGGAACTAAGTGATTTAGTGGGACCCTATTTCAAAAAAACAAAATAAACACCACCACCCCCAGCAAACAAATAAACAACAGATCTGGGGATTTAGCTCAGTGTGAAGGGACTAGGTTCAATCCCAATACGGAAGAAAAGAGAAAGAAAAAGGACTTATTGCCTGTCTCACTCCATTGAATGGAAAAGCAAGGAGGGTAGGGGGTTTGGGACAAAGTAGGTCTGCTCAGCACTTTTTCCTGGCAGGAAAAAGGTGCACGAGTCTGTGAAATTCAGACCTCACGCCACCTGTGACAGGGATGTTACCATTGTCACTTTACAGGTGGGAAATGAGGTTCCAGGAAAGCCGGAGCTTTGCTAGGATCTCACAGAGCCGGATGGATGATGTCCAGTCAACAAGTTTTCAGAAACTCAGGTGCCAGAAACAGGCCAGCCTGGGGATCCCCAAGAGTTCAGGCCTGAGGAAATGAGTTTCCTAGAAGGAAGTCAGCAAGGGCAGCCACCGATGTCATCTGCCCAAGGCTCCAGTGCTGGTGCCAGAAGGGGGGCTCTCTGCAACTACCCTTGGGATTCTGCCCTCCTTCACTGTCCCTCCACACTGGGTTCCTTTCAGTTCCCTTTGGTGACATGCTTCCTTTGCTCCTTGGTGCCTGTACCTGCACATGCTGGCTTCTCTCAAGCAGGGGAGGGGCCTCTGATGGCACCACTTGTGCTGCTGTGCGAGGTTCCCTGACACTGACTGCCCAGGCTCCTGGGGCTGTGGAGGCCAAGCCTCTCTGTTCCCCACAGCCCCTGCCTCCCCCCTCCAGGGGGAAGTGAGATTGGTTACAAGGGGCCCGGTGGAGCCTCACTTCCCCTCCACTGGCTCTTCCACCTACAGGACAGGGACGCTGGGGGACCCTTCTTGGAAGAGTACTATTCTCTCCCAAGCCCTGCCTTCCTCCTCCTGTGTCTCTGGCCTGCGGTTGGTTCAGAATCTCCCTGACCAAGGAAGGCAGAAAGTGAACAATGTAGAGTCCCTTGAACAGTCCCTGAGTAGGCCCAGAGTCTCATGCCAATGCTGGGAGCCCAGCAATGTCACCTCCCTTTCAAAGACAAGGGGCTGGGAAGCACAGGGTCTGCCTAAAGTGTGCAAGCTGAGTCCAGAGCTGGAGGCAAGCTGGAGTGCCCCTCCACCCTCACCCTGCATCCCCTGCTGGCTCCTAATGGAGTTCAGGGACTCTAAGGGTGGTGGCCTCATCTCAAGTGGGAGGGGGAGCTATCTTGTTGTCCCTCAGATAGTGTGAATGTGTGGCGAGAGTGACAAGAAAAGAAAGTTTTTCTTTTTTTTTGGTACCCAGAATCAAACTCTGGACATTTTGCTTTCCAGGCAGGCATGGCGCCACCGAGCTACATCCCCAGCCCAGGAAAGTTGTTCTTGGCTATGGCTCCAGATATCTTTTCTGGACCAACATGGGATATTTTTCTATTAAGCATAACTGACCCCTAGTGAAGAAGATTCCCATTTTGGAGGTGACCATTTTCAATGAAATAGCAGTTTAGAGTGGGGATGTGGTTCAGTGGTAAAGTGCTTGCCTAGCATGAGCCAGGCCCTAGAACTATGAAAAAAAAAGCAGTTTTGTTTTGAAAGATTGAAATGTTTTAAAAAAGGTTTTTTTGGGTTTTGGGGTTTTTTTTGTTTTGTTTTTGTTTCTTTTGAGACAGGGTCTCAGGGCTGGAGATTTAGCTCAGTGGTTTTGGTGCCGGCTGCGCAAGCCCAAGGACAAGTTCGATCCCCGGTACCAAAAAAAAAAGAGACAGGGTCTCACTGTGTAGCTCAGACTGGCCTTCAATTTTCCATCCTCCTGCCTCAGTCTCCCAAGTGCTAGGATAACAGAGGTTCCTCACCACACCTCGCTCTACACTGAAAAAATTTAAAATATGAAATAGTGAAGTGCTCAGCAGCTACAAATAATAATATATATATACTTATTTCCATTTTATATTACGGTACACAGTTGGAGGGGGGAGATACAGAAGTAAAGTTAAAACACAAAAGGCATCTTTTTGCCATGAAAGAGCAACCCAGGTATTCCTGGAGAGATGGGTCAAAGTTCTGATTCAACTAATACTAAAGTATTTGTAAAAAATGCAAAGCTCTAAATTCTAAAGACTATAGTGTTATCTAGAATTTAGATATTTTATTTTGGGTTTATAACTTTGGACTTTTCTTCATTAATAGAATGTTCAGCTGAACTAGGCTGATGGCACGCCCCTGTTGTTCCAGCTACTCTGGAGGCCAGGAGTGCAAGACCAGCCAGAGCCCCCATCCCCAAAACAAAAACAAAACCCAACAAACCGTTAATTAAAAATTAGTATAGGGCCGGGAGTTTATTCAGTGGTGGAGCACTTGCCTAGCCTGTGCAAGGTCCTGGGTTCTATCTCCAGCATCAAATAAATAAAAGTAATGGGCCGGGGATTTAGCTCAGTGGTTCCAGCGCCTGACTCTCAAGTGCACAAGGTCCCAAGCTCGATCCCCGGTACCAATAAATAAATAAATAAATAAATAAAAGTAATAATAAAAACGACCATAGAAAATGAATAATCAGCAGCACCACGCCTTTCTGGCATGCGTAAGGTCCTGAGTTCAATCCTAGGTACAGAAAAAAGAAAAGAAAAGAAAAAAAAAAGTCACGAAACAACACGAGTGGCCCCTGAGTAAGCAGATTTGAGTAAACATCAGACATTAGACTCACAAGCTGCAACGAGGGGAGGGACCCCATCGCTGAGGCCGTCAAAGCAGACTCCTTCCCAGACATTCCGCTGCCACAGGAAACTAGAGAGCAGGAGTCACCTAGCGCTAAACTTTCCAGAAGGAACCTATGTGTGAAGCTTGAGGCTGGCGGAGAGGCCCCTATTATAGAACTGAAAACCATTCAGCGTGGCAAACAGATGGATTGGAGGTCGTGGTGAAAGGGCAGGCGCTGGCGACCACGCGCTGACCCTGGTGGACAGACCAGGTGTCAGAGCCGGGGCCGGGCAGGTGCACAGTGGGGATATGGGTGGTGGCCCGGATCCGCCCCTGTAGAGGACAAGGGCAGGCGGGGGGGGGGGGTTCGCCCAGCTGTGTGGCTCGCTGGTGACCTGAGAGCTCCAGGAAGGCGCGGCTGGGACGCCCAGAGCGCTGCAGGGGTGGGGACCTGTGGTCGACGACGCATTCTCTTGCGGTTCCAGGTCGCCTTCTCGGCCCGCGGTCCATGCAGGGCTCCACGCTGCCCGGCGTCTCCCCTGAGGCCCGGGGCCCGGGTCGGTGAGGGGCGCAGGTGGCCCGGCGGGCGGGGCGGGTGCTCCCGTGCACCGAAGCACTGTGGCAGCGGCGGCCGGGGGCGGGGGCGGCGCGACGCGGAAGTGCAGGGCCGGCTCGGCCACCGCGGAGGCACAGCTCCGGGAGCGCGCAGTTTGCCCCGCGCCCGCCGGCACCGGCACAGGTAGGTCCGGCAGCCGCTCCCTGCGCCCCGGCCACTCGCTCGCACTCCGAGGGTCCCCGCAGCCAGCCCGCTTCCTCTGCCTCCTCCACCTAGTCCGACGCCCTGGGGACCCCGGCCGCGAGTGGGCGCTGTCACGGAGCGCGCCCCGCCGGCCTCAGCGCCCCAAAGGCGCCTTCCTTGGCCGGATCAGCGTGGGGCGTCGGCCGTCGTCGCCTACAGGAGCCCCGAGGCCGGAGCGGCGGCGTGGGCACCGCGTCTTCTCGCCTTCCGCCTTCCGTGGCCGAGGACCGCGAGCGGCTCCGAGCGGCCGAAGTTGGGGCGATCGAAGACCAAGGCCCTGACGCTCCTCCCTGTCGCGCGCTCCCCGCACCCTGACCCTTTCGGGCGAGAGGTTGAGGTTTCAAGCAGTCTCCTTCTCAGGATTTAACGCCAGTGCCAGGAATGCGCAGGGAGAGTTTGAGGGGGTTAGATGGTGCCAGGCAGAGGCGCTGAGCTTTGACTCGTGTGGCCAAAAAAGGCGTCGCGGGCCCTCCCGGCAGCGGAGAATCGGGGGCCCTATCGCTTCCTTGCCGTCCGCCCCCAGACTTCAGAAGGAAACAATGAAAAGTCTCAAGAGATGGGGGCGCGGAGCCCCGCCCAGCCGCGAGGCAGTTGTCACCCGGAGCCAGCACCGGGGCGGGGGCGGGAGTGGGGGACTTTCCTGGCCTCCTCAGGCAGCAGGCGTGGAAAAGGGTGGGGGCGACCCCAGCCGAAGGAGCGGTCCGGGTTTTGGCCGGGTGGCTGCGCAGGGGGCGCAGGCTGTCTGCCCCGGTCCGATCTGACCTTGCGGGGCACCCGGGGAGGCCGGGCTTGGCCTGGGTTCTAGAGTGGGGATGCGTGAACGGTATCAGAAAGGACGTGGGCTGGGCTGGTGCGTGAAGCTGAAGCCGGACCTAGCCCCGCAGTGGGGGCCGCCCCTCAGCGCTCCAGCTGGCAGCTCTGGAGGGCTGAGGGGCTCCTGGCTAGAAACTATGAGACAGTGGGAAATCACCCCCTTTGACCCAAATGCCATGTTTTGGGGTTTTCCCTTGCACCCTGGCCTTCCCCACCCTCGCCCTGTGAGGAAGCCGAGAGGCTTCTTCCTGCCGCACCTGCCGCTCCGGGAGGCTCAGCCTGTCCGTGCGGGCGAGGAGGCAGGGCCCAGGGAGTGCCGAAGTCGGTCACCTGGAGAGGGCGGGATTTAGGGTCACACCAGGTGCAGGGTACTCCTTGCCTCTCCCTATGCTGGGTGTGGGGTTTGCTGACCCAGGCGACTCAAGAGGGGCAGCAGGGTCTCCAGCTCTGCCCACTCCTCCTTAATCCACTGGCCATTTCTTACTCTATCCTCCCCGTGGGACCCACCTGGCTGCTCTAGTGGCCTCTCCTGGGACTTCAGCAGGGCCCTGGATTGACTGGAAGGCTCGCCACCCCAGCAGGGCTTCAAGGATTCCCCCTCTGGATGCTTCACTGCCTGACCCACTTGGGGCCTTCTCCGGGTCTTCAGCAGCCCACGCCCCTTCTGACATTTCCATAGCAGGTTTCCAGGGCTCTCAGATCCACAAACCTAGGTCTGGGGGATCCCTGAATTTGAAGACAGGCAGGTGTGTTCAGACGTCGAAATCCAGATCTCACAGGCATTGGGATGGTCTGAAGCCAATGTAAGCCCACCTCTGGACGGACAGGATGGATTTTGAGCCTGGTCTTGTTGAGAGGAAGGACCTGGCTCTGCAGATGGAATGGGGTGTGGGGGGCGGCAGTTTGGCTTTAGGGACCCATATATGAATTTTCTCCGCCCCCTCCCACCCTCCCTCAGCGCACAGTGAGTCAGGTTTCTGAGTTGTACACTTTCATTTCCCCTGGGCTGGGTGGAGGCTGATGTAGGAAGAGGAACTGAGCCACAGCCTTGGGGGCGGGGGGCTGGAGCCTTCCCACCCTGCCGGCTTTATTCTTCACGGATTGAGCTGGACACTGCTCTGAAGCCTGCAGAGGGACATTCTGGCAGCTTGGAGGTGGCACATAGCAGCCATAACCCAAACAGGTACTGGGTGGGAAATTTCAGGGGAAACTGAGGCTCTGTGATACTAGGGCCAAGTAGACCAGCTCCACCCTTCCTTACTCGCTGACCAACATAATCTTCTGAGGACCAGGCAGTTTGATTGCTCCCTTTTCCTGGGCTCATACAATAAAGGGCAAAGGGTATGGGCAAGAGGAGGAAGGAAACTGCCCAGGAATGGAGAGGGGCAGCAGAGGGGGGGGGGGGCTCCAGACTGAAGTTTCAGGTTCTGGAGAATGGTGGGCAGGTGAAAGGGAGCATGAAGTGTCTCATTTGTCCTGCTGTCTTGACTTGAGTGAGGCAGGGACTGTGGCCTGGGGAAGGGGTCACTCTCCACGGGCAGCTATACTCCTGCAGCTGTGTTACAAGCCCACAAACATCAGGGGTTTCCTAAGTACTGAAAGAAACTGGCATGGTGGCTCCTACCTGTAATCCTACCACTGAGGGAGGAGGATCTCCTTGAGTTTGAGCCTAAACTACACAGAAAGACCTTGACCCTATCTCAAAAAAACAAAAAACAAAAAAACATTTAAGTGCTGAAAGAATGTGTCCAGTAGGAGGAGAAAGGGCAGGGACAAGATGGCTTCAGGGAGCTAAGGCCTAAGCTTGGTGGCAACTGTCCTTTCTGGAGGTAGTTTAAGTGGGTTGATGGGATTTATCTAAGGCATGGTGGTGGGGGGGGCTGCACCCCTGAGGAAAACTGAGGAAAAACAGAAGCTTTCAGAACTGAATTTGGACACCCTTCCTCCTTTCCCATGTTCTGCTGTTGTCTCCTAGAAACTCGTGGTGAGATTCTTGTTTAGAGGAGTTGTTGGGATTCTCAGGGGAAGGTGAGAAAAACAGAGAGAGGAAAAGCTGAGCAGGGTTGGGATGGGTCAGTCTGATCCTAAGGCACGCTCACTGCACCTGTTAATTCGCCTTGCAGCAAGGGAGGGAGGCTTCGGTCCCTTGGAGTCACTGTTGTGACCCCCCCCCCCCAGAGTGAGGTGAGGGCTAACCTGTGAGGGGAGGCAGCTGCAGGAAGTTCTTTGGCACAGGGCCAGCTGGTGCTGTTGGCATCTGGGAAAAGGATGCCCCAGCCTGGTACAGGGCATCTGGAGTGGCTGTCCAAGCATCCGCTAGTGCTGAGATGTCTTCTTTCCTTCCCCTTTCTTCCCCTGCCCCCAACACCAAGCACGGACTCAGGGACCCTGTGACTTGGAAGCTGAGGGTAGGAAAGGAGAAGTGGTCTTGAACACCTGGGTGGGCCCACTGTCCCTGGGGCAGAGTGTTTAGCTGCTACTCTGGCTTTCCCTGCAGACCTCTTTGCCATGAACCAACAGCCCCCTGGGGCTCCCTCTCAGCCCCGCCGCGTGCGGCTGAAGCCCTGGCTGGTGGCCCAGGTGAACAGCTGCCAGTACCCAGGGCTTCAGTGGGTCAATGGAGAAAGGAAATTATTCTACATCCCCTGGCGCCACGCCACGAGGCATGGCCCCAGCCAGGATGGAGACAACACCATCTTCAAGGTAAGCCCTGGATGGGTGCTGCTTGGACCTCCGAGCACCCCGTCCCTAGGAATGGGACATGCCCCACACACTTCTCAAGGCCCACTTTGCTCAGCCCTACCTTTCAAAAACTGGTAGAGGCACACTTACTCTTTGTACTTCATATTTCTTGAAGAGCACTTGTCAGTATATAAAGTTTCCTTCATCCTGGGGCTAGGGATTTAGCTCAGTAGCTCCACACCTGCCTTGAAACCGCAAGGTCCTGAGTTTGATCCCGGGGACCAAAATAAATAAATAAATAGAATAAAAAAATAAATTAAAAAATTTTCCTTCTTCCTACCCCCCTACATATTCAATCCTGTGAGTTGGCCATAATTTAACAACCTCTCATGATGGACATTGGGTATTATGGATCTTTTGCTTTTACAGATGGCGCTGTAGTGAATAATCTTGAGATTCTGTATGATTCTATAGTAATCATATTGCTAGGTTAAAGCATGGAAACATTTACTCACTTATGGGAGGCTCTTAGGAACTAGCCCCAAATAAATCATTTAAGATAAATAAAGGGTAGGGCTGGGGATTTAGCTCAGCAGCACTGCGCCTGCCTTGCAAGCAAGCACAAGGTCCTGAGTTCGATCCCCAGTACAGAAAAAAAAAAAAAAAGAATAAAGGGTAGCAGTTAAGCATCCATGGCGATGTGGGTTGTTTTTTTGGTACTGGGGATCAAACTCAGGACCTTGTGCTTGCAAGGCAGGCTTGGTGCCGCTGAGCTAAATCCCCGGCCCGACAATTTGGTTTTTAACACTGAAACTCCAAAATAATAATAGCAGCTGGAGGTGTAGCTCAGTGATAGAGCAAGTGCTTAGCAAGCACAAGACCCTGGGTTTGCAAGGCTTTGGCTCTGCCATGCTACACTGTGGAGCGGTGAATGCAGATTCCCCTGAAAGCAGATTTCATTGAGCTTGTTGGAACCCCAGGAGCTGGAGAAGGGCCAGGCCCTAGATTCCTGTTGTACATGAGGATCTCAGCTTGGCAGGGCTCAGCCAGTGGCTGAAAGTCTTTCCTCCAGGACAGGAGGCAGGCTAGAGCTTTGGTTAGGGCAGGGATTCTCTGTGGTCAGCTGTCCTTTCTTCCTACTCAGGCCTGGGCCAAAGAGACAGGGAAGTACACTGAGGGGGTGGACGAGGCTGATCCGGCCAAGTGGAAGGCCAACCTACGCTGTGCCCTCAACAAGAGCCGAGACTTCTGCCTCATCTATGACGGGCCCCGGGACATGCCACCTCAGCCCTACAAGATCTACGAGGTCTGCTCCAATGGCCCTGCTCCCACAGGTATCCTTCCTGGTCCTGCATGGGCCATCTGGGAGGCTGTGCAGGCAGGAAGCCTCCCCAGCCCCTGCCTGCAGTGGCCCAGGGCTCCCAGGAATGGCTTAGAATGGGGTCAGAGGCCCCGATGCTTCTCCCACCACTGCCCTTGTTCTGGGCTCTTGGCTTCTGGGAGGTCCTTACAGTGGCAGTAGCCTTCACTTCACCATGTCTGGGGGCCGCCCACATGGAGCTCCAGGCTAGTTGGGCACCTGGTCCACCCTTGACTCCCTGTCCTCTTCTCTCCCTTGCCATGCAGAGTCCCAGCCTACTGAGGATTACAATGTGGTTCCAGAAGAGGAGAAGGAAGAGGAAGAAGAAGAAGAGGTGTGTGTGGAGGGCAGGGGTTGGGATTGGGGTTTAGAGTGGCCATTGAGGTGGCCCTACTTTAGGATGGAGCAGTCCCTTCCACTGAAATGTCCTCCTTGGTTCTGAAGGATAGGGACAAAGTGCCCACTCTATTCCTCGCCAGGGATGTGTTGTCTTGACCTGCAGGCCAGTTGGGCTTGATGGGTGTTGCTACCTGCAGAAGGAAAATGAGAAAGCACTTTCCTAACCTGCTCTAATGGCAGAGCTGGGACAGGAGGCAGGGTCTGGCCAAGGCTGGGCCACCAAAGCTTTCCCTTGATAGATCAGTTCACTAATCTGTTCTTCCTTCTGTCTCTGCCTTCTTCCCTCCTTGCTTGCCTGTATCTTCCCTTTAGCTTCAGAAGATGTTACCAGAACTGAGACTCACAGGTAGGGCTGGGAGGTGGTGTGGCTGGGGGTCTTGTATATGGAGGAGCCACAGGTACCATAGGTACTAGGTTGGGGCTGAAGGGAGGCAGGTCTTCGAGTCAGAGGGTCTGGGAGACAGTTCCTAGGGGTGGCATTACCAGCTGTCTACTACACCTTCTATAGAAGCAGTGCAGCCTGGTCCCTCCATGGCACCCTATTCTTTACCTAAAGAAGATGTCAAGTGGCCACCTGTTCTCCCACCGCCTGTGGGGCCTGCCTTGGACCCCAACCTGCTGGTCCCTGCACCTGGTAACCCTGCGAGCTTCGGGCAGCATCTCCCTGAGGTCCTGCCTAGTTCTGAGCCCCTGGCTCCCACCCTGCCCCCTGCAAGTGAACAGCTATTGCCTGACCTGCTCATCAGCCCCCACATGCTGCCTCGTAAGGACCCCCATGGGCTGGGCAGGCTGGGCAGGGTAAAGCAATGCAGGGGGTTGGGGCAGGGTCTTCAAGGAAAGCAGAGGCTGGCAGAGAATGGAACAAAAGCATGTGGATACCCTCCCTGCCCTAATGCCCTGTGGGGGAGAAAGTGGGAGAGCTGAGGAGGCTGGGCCTGCCACCTGGCTGCAGAATGGGAGACTCATGGCTGGAGTGGCCTACCCCTCTGCCCCACAGTGACTGACCTGGAGATCAAGTTCCAGTACCGGGGACGGCCACCCCAAGCCCTCACCATCAGCAACCCACAAGGCTGCCGGATCTTCTACAGCCAACTGCAGGCCACCCAGGAGCAGGTGGAACTTTTTGGCCCCGTGAGCCTGGAGCAAGTTCGCTTCCCCAGCCCTGAAGACATCCCCAGTGACAAGCAGCGCTTCTACACGAACCAGCTGCTGGATGTCCTAGACCGTGGGCTCATCCTCCAGCTGCAGGGCCAGGATCTGTATGCCATCCGCCTGTGCCAGTGTAAGGTGTTCTGGAGTGGGCCCTGCGCCTCCACTCAGGGCTCGAGCCCTAACCCCATTCAGCGGGAAGTCAAGACCAAGCTCTTCAGCCTGGAGCAGTTTCTCAATGGTGAGGCCCACACTGTGTTCTTCCTGGCCACCTCTCACCCACAGCATGGTTCTAGCCTCTGACCAGGGTCTTTGATCTCGATGCAGACCTCATCCTGTTCCAGAAGGGGCGCACTGACACCCCACCACCCATTGAGATCTTCTTCTGCTTTGGGGAGGAATGGCCTGACCGAAAACCCCGAGAGAAGAAGCTCATTACTGTACAGGTGTGTGTCCCCTACCCCACCTTGGCTTGAATACTGGGGAACATGGCCAGGGCTCACTGGACAGTGCCAACTTGGCTGCCAGAGATAATCAAGGCTTGGGACTGGAGCAGAGGCATCTACTATGTGCCCCTGGTGGAAGCCCTCATGCACTGCTGGATCTGGTAGCCCAGCCACAGCTCTCCCTGTCCTATCTCTGCCCCCAGGTGGTGCCTGTTGCAGCACGGTTACTTCTGGAGATGTTCTCAGGAGAGTTTTCTTGGTCAGCTGACAGCATCCGACTGCAGATCTCAAACCCAGACCTCAAAGATCGCATGGTGGAGCAGTTTAAGGAGCTCCATCACATCTGGCAGGCCCAGCAGCAGTTGCAGCCTATGGCCCATGGCCCTCCTGTGGCAGGCTTGAGTGCTGGCCAAGGGCCCTGGCCCATGCACCCCGTTGGCATGCAATAATGGGGTGGGTAGTGGCTGTACAGACTGATGAGGCAATATGGTAGCCCCAGCAGGCCTGGCTGGCTGCAGAGTCCAATCTCTGGATCTCCTTGAGGTGGGTTTAGGCCAAGGAAAAAGAAGAGGGCTATGTGCCTGTTCCCCCTGCAGAGCTTTGCTTGCAGGGCTGGCTCCTTTGGCCTGCCTCTCCTGTGCTCCTTCCGCTGGCTCTGGAGAAACCCAGCCAGCAGTCTCCCTGAGCAGGGGAGGAATGCCCCCACTGTAGGGCCTACATATACAGGGTGGATTGCCCCAGGGTGGCCCACTCTTGTGGTTGCCCCATTTCCTCTGGCAAAAAAGCCTGAGAAGTACTGTGGGGCAGGTCCCACTGCAGGGCCTCTGTAGGGCATGGGCCTGATTTGGAGGTCCCCTAGTTTGAGCCTCACTTCCCCATCTTTCTCCCTCCTGAGATGAATATAAGCCTTTAGACATCACTTAAGGCTGGCAGCTACCTGCTGCCTTCTTCAGAGTTTAAGAATCTGGCAGTAAAGAGTAGATATATTTTTGGATTAAAAAGTTAAAAAACACACTTGGCTGGTTCTTTACTTTCTCCAGTGCCTGTAATCTCCATGCTGTTCTTTCAGCCTCTCAGGTACCAGCTGGCCCCTCTCCAACACCTGTTCTCTGGCTTGGGCCACTAGCATGGGGACTGCCTGCCTTCCAGTCATTAAGTAAGCTGGGCCTTCACCAACACTCACCTGGCTGGCTTTGCTTCCAGGAGGAAGATGGCTGAGGCAATGGTGTGGAATTTTAAATGTGCAGTCTGAAAAGCTGTCCAGATTTCCCATTGTTTGGGATCATTACAATCTGTTATCCTCATTTTTATATGCTATTATGTTAGGAAACTACATGTAAATTGGTAGCCTATCATCTGAATCTAGCTCACAGGTGTAATTTTCTGGCTTGAACAATCTATTGTTATTTTATCTTATTTATTTGCTCGTTTGTTTTTATGACAGGGTGTTGCTACATAGCTCTGGCTGGCCTAGAACTCACTGTGTAGCCCAGGCTGGCCTTGAACTCAAGGCAATCCTTCCTCAGCCTCCCAAGTGCTGGGATTACAAGCATGTACCATGACACTCGGGTCTTTTTATTATATAAAATTTTAAACATTTGCAAAAATAGGAAGAATGGTATGAAATCTCCATGTAGCAGTTCTAACAATTAGCAATTCATAGTTCATCTTTCTCATCTAAACACCTATCTATACCATAGCCTCCTTGAGATTATTTTGAAGCAAGTCCTAGAAATAACATTTTATGTGTAAATATTAAGCATATATCTCTAAAAGACAAAGACTTTCCTTTTAAAAAATTTTTTGTGGTGCTAGGGCCAGGGATTTAGTTCAGTGGCACCACGCCTGCCTCGCAAGCACAAGGCCCTGAGCTTGATCCCTGGTACTGGGGGAAAAAAAATTTTGTGGTGCTGGGGATCAAACCAAGGGCTTCACACATGCCAGGTGAGCACTCTGCTCAAGGCAAGACAATATTCTAAAAAATAAAACTTGTCATTATCGTACCTCCTGAGAAGAGATTAATTTTTTGTGTGAGGCTTCCTCTGAACAGCATTTAGGAGGTAGGAAAATTAATTATAACCATGATCATAATAAAATTATATGTATAAAAAAGTTTTTTCTAGTTTGATCCCTGGTACCAAAAAAAAAAATTTTTTTTTTTTTTTTGTGTGAGGGAGGTTGAGGCAGGAGGATTGCTGAGAGTTCGAGGCCAGCCTGGAATACATAGCAAGACCCTGTCTCTAAAAACAAAAACAAACGTGTGAGAAAATAGGGACTGACTTGAGAGTGCTCTCTAGCACTGAGTTATACCTCTAGCCCCTGAAGAAATTAATTTTTATCAAAAATCTAGTTTAAATTTTAAGATGATTTGAATTTTACACCCTTTCAATTTGGTAAAACAGTACAGTTTTAGATTGCATCTCATTTTGTCTCTTGTATTTCCTATAAATTATTACTTAGATCTGGACCCTGGATTCTGTTTCAGGTATCTATTAGCCCTAAATATCTATTGGACCTAAAATTCAGATTCTGAGCCAAAAAATAAATGTCATTTTGTGAGGTAGTGGGAAAAATTCCACACATATGGAGGAGTGTCTTGTTTTCCTACAGCCTCAGGGCCGGGGATTTAGCTCAGTGGTTGCACCGCCTGCCTCGCAAGCGCAAGGACCCAAGTTCTATCTCCAGTACCAAAAAAAAAGCAGACTATACTGTCAACTGTTCGGACTTCTGTAGTTTGACAGGTGAGAGATAGTATTTCAGTGCATTTCTCACTATGAGCCAGGGTAGGAACCTTTTCATATTTGGCCAGTGTAGATTTAAAAAAACAAAACAGGGTTGGGAGTATAGCTCTATGGTAAAGCGCATACTTTGCATGGCCAGCAGGCTAAATAAGTGAGTAAAATTTAAAAATATTTCCAACGGAGCTAAGAGACAACTTACAATGTGGGAAAAAATTCTTACCAGCTGTACCTCAGACAAAGGACTACTATCTTGAATATATAAAGAACTTAAAAAAAAAATCAGACCTCCCAAATTTATTATTTATTTACTTATTTATTTATTTATGGTACCAAGGATCCATCCAACTTAGGACGTTGTGCTTTCGAGGTAAGGGCGGTGCCACTGAATTAAATCCTCGGCCCAGACCTCCCAAATTTAAAGACCCAATTCAAAAATGGGCACCTGAAATGAACAGACATTTCTCAGACTAAGAACTAAAAGGCAAATAAACATATGAAAAAATGTTCAACATCACTGGTCATTCGAGAGATGCAGATGAAAACAACACTGAGATTCCAGCTCACCCCAGAAACAATGGCTGCTATCAAGAAATCAGCCAATAACAAATGCTGGTGGGGGTGTGAGGAGAAAGGAACCCTGCTCCATTGTTGGTGGGAGTGCAGACTGGTGCAACCACTGTGGAAATCAGTATGGAGACACCTCAAAAAACTAGGATTAGAGGTCCCATTTGACCCAGCTATTCCCCTGCTGGGTATCTTCCCAAAAGAATTAATCACACCATAGTGATATATGTGCACCCATGTTTATAGTGGCACAGTTTGTAATAGCTAAAGCTTGGAAACAGCCCAAGTGCCCATTAACTGGTGACTGGACAAAGAAGATGTCTCAGGGGCTGGGGATTTAGCTCAGTGGTTCCACCACCTGCCTCGAAGGCACAAGGTCCCGAGTTCAATCCCCAGAACCAAAAAAAAAAAAAAAAGATGTGATTTTTTTTTTTTTATGAAATGAAGTACTATTCAGCCATAAAGAATGAAAAACTAGAGACATTTATAGCTAAATGGATGCACACTGAAGCCACAGTGTTAAGTGAAATAAATAGGACACACTTGTATATCGAATAGTTTCTCTGGTGTGAGAAACCGAAAGTGTAAATAAGGATTAAAATGAATAATTGATAACGTGAAATAGGAAGAAAAGGTCCAAAGGGGAAGGGGAAGAGGGAGGGGCAGGGGAAAGGAGAGAAAAGAAAGGGAAAAATATGAGAAAAGGAAAAAATGGAAACAAAGTCTTTGTAAATAGGGAGGGGAGAGGAGTTGAAGGTAGGGCAGGGGAACGGGGAAAAAATTAGAACCAAGACACATTATGTAAAGGCACAAGATCCCAATGATAAATCTAAATGTATTGTATACCAAAATTGTACCAATAAAGAATTGAAGAAAAAAAATAGTTTAGCCAGGCATGGTGGTGCATACCTGTAATCCCAACACTTGGGAGGCTGAGGCAAAACCTTGTCTCAAAAACAAACAACAAAAAAATACTTTTGGATTTATGGAAAAGTTGCTAGGAGTTCTTGTATGTCCCACACCATACCCCCAGTTGCTAACATGTTACTATGTATCACAACTAATAAAACTATATGGATACATAGTTATTAAACTATTTTTTATCCCAGTTTCATCAGTTTTCCTCCTTTTTTGGTTCCAGGATCCTATCTGAGATATTACATTTGTCATCAATCTTCACCTCCTTTGGTCTGTGATAAGTTTGACTTTCTCGTTTTTATTGGTATTGATGGCTTTGAATACAGTTGGCATTAATCAGAACATCACTAAATTTGGGATGTGGCTCAGTGGTGCAAGCCAGCACCACACACACACACACACACACACACACACACACACACACACACACACACACGGTCAGCATGATTTAGACACAGTTCTTCCACTGTAAAGTTACCCTCCCCTGCTTTTCTATACATATAGTGGCTTCAGAATGGTTAACCTGTGCCCCCCTTAAGAAATTACTAACTAGAATGAAGTACTTTTCTATACAGCTCCTTTTATCTTTAGTCTCACCTTTCATTTACAAAGGCTAGCATCTTTTCCTCACACTGGCCTGTACAATTCTATTTCCTCTTGACATGAAATTAGTTGTCAATGTTTTCAAATTTGAGGTCTTACATCTTTGCCCGCTTCTCTCAAACTGGTGAGTATGGAAACATTCTCTCATATTTCCTGAAGGCAATAATCAGCTAGAACTTGAGACAGTTCCCCCAACTCAATACAATCCTCTCCCAGCCTGCTGCCCTCCTTTCATTACTTGCTTTGTTCCTGAAGGCAGTTGAGTTTGCAGCCCTGGATGCCTGGTGGAAGTGAGAGGCTGAGGGTAGAAGGATTATGGAAGCACCACGTGACCACTGGTGAATTGATTCTCCAGTACCACTGGTGGTCCAGTAGCTGCCAAAAATCTTCCTTGGGAAAGAAAAAAAAAATCTCTCTTGGGTTTGTACTTAACTTTTTGACTAAAAATAAAACAGAAATGAAACAACAAATCTGTTACTTTTTATTTGTGTTGTAGTAGCCAGCAGGACTATGTACATTGCAATTCACTGCTCTTGATAGTGACCTCTACTGGTGTTTACTTAGACTCCATCTCTTCAGCACCCAAGAGTCTCTTTTCTTCCAAGTTCCACCTCTCCACCAATTTCATCTTTTCATCCAATGAAGTATTCCCTTTTATTCAAGACTCCTTCCTCTCACTCAGCTTTTCATTGACAACACAAGAACATACCCCTTTTCAGTCTTTTTTTTTTCTTTTCAGTCTTTGTAGAGCAGAGAAAGCTACTGATGGCCTTTCCATTTTACTGAAGGAGCAACTTCAGATTTGCTGGTAATATATCCCAAAAGGGCACACCCTGTTGCATTTTCTTAGACTTTTAACTTCTCTGGATCTTGGCTTTTATCTTTGTAAGAGAATTCACTTAAACTAGAGCTACACAAAAAGGACATGTACGTTATATTTGTGAGGTGTGATGTGGTTCAAAAGCCCAAGTTCCTTTATGTCTTAGGTATACTTCTTTATCAGGTTTTTTTTTGGTACCAGGGATTGAACTCAGGACCTTGCACTTGCCAGGCAGGCACGGTGCCACTGAGCTATTATCCCCAGCCCTATCAGTTTTTGATCTTTATAATCATTCCTTTTAAATAGGAACATAAAAATTAGAAGTCACCTTTCAGTAATCTTGATGGGAATTTTCCCAGTGGGGGA